TCAAATAAGTTAAGAAGTGTCCAATGTCAAGTTAATATCAAGACACATTTTTGTAAGAAACATTTTACTGTACATTAATTATAAACACAAAGCATAGGACAGCTTACACACAACAACAAAAAAAAAGAAAACCACGGCAATTCACAAATGTGCAATAATCTACTTTATGAGATTAACAATGTTACCAAAAGAGGTCTTGCTTGTTGTTTATCCTGAGCATCACTTTGGCATCGCATTTGTTTACCTATGGACCATGCGGAGTATCACTTGGGCAGGTGTCATTTCAATCAGTAGATTCTTGTTTGCAGGAGATATGCCTGTATACCTATTATTTTGGGGGGTTTTTGTTTTTGTTGTTTTGTCTTTTTGAGACAGGGTCTCACTATGCAGTTCAGGCTGGCCTTGAGCTCACTTTGTAGCCAGGCTGATCTCGAACTTGCAAGGATTCTCCTGCCTCAGCTTCTTGAGTGTTGCAATTACAGGCGTGCAGCACCATGCTCAGCTTCATCTATTATTTGTTTTATACCAATTATTTTTTGGATAATTTTGTTTAGAACACTGTATTCACTTTTAATGTCTGCGTCTAGTAAAATCTAATAAATTCTGGGTTTTCTTTTTTACTAACTAATTGGTGTTTGTGAAAGAAACTACAATTTTGTGCTACAATCTATAAAAACTCTTATTGTAAGTACATTAGATATAATTTTTATGCTTCTCCAGAGCTCAGTGATATTCTTTTGTAATACAAAGTGGATACATGTGGGACTCTGAGACTGAATAGGAAGGAAGTGCCAAAAGATCTGCAAAAGAAAAAACTGAAAAAGGGAGAAATGTCATATCAGAAAGGAAAAATCTATCAAGTTGAAATATTATTTTGAAAGAAAAAAAAAAGAAAAATCTGTTATGCAATGGAAAAACAAAAAAAAGATGTGTCATTATCAACTAGTTCATAATATAGAAATGATAGAATTTGAAAGAAGAAATGAAACTAAAAAAATTTTAATAGTGGTCAATGATTATAATAATTCTATGGGTTATCTTTCATCATGCACTAAACTAAATTCAGAATGGACCAATGATCTAAATATTAAAACAGAAACACTGAATCTGCTGGAAGACAGAGTAGGTAAAACTCTTGAAAACACTGGTATACACAAAGACTTTTTGAACAAACTCCTGATTACATAGAAACTACCACAAAGAATCAACAACTGGGCTCTCATCATACTGAAAAGCTTTCGCACAGCAAGAGAATCACAGTGTGGAAGAAAAGGTTTGCTAGCTGCTTCTCAAGACAAAGGATTACTACCCAGAACATATAAAGAACTGAAAAAAATCAGTTCCTGCAGATTTACAGACCCAACCCAAAAACATGCATCTGAGATGAATACACACTTCTCAGAAGAAATACACACAGTAAATATATGAAAAAATGTGCAACATCACTGGTCATTCAAGAGACAAATTAAAACAACCCTGAGATTCCACCTCACCCCAGAAAGAATGGCTATTACCAAGAAATCAAGCAATAACAAATGCTGGAGAGGCTGTGGGGAAAAAGGAACCCTTTTCCACTGTTGATGGGAGTGCAGACAGATGCAGCCACTGGAAATCAGTGTGGAGATTCCTCAAAAACTAGGAGTCGAGGTCCCATTCAACCCATGTATTCCCCTTCTGGGTTATCTTCCCAGAAGAATTAAAAACTCATACTACAGTGATGTATGTGCACTCCTGTTTACAATACAATTTGTTTTGTTTTGTTTTGTCTTTTTCGTTTTTATCGGTACCAGGGATCGAACTCACAACTGCCTGCTTGCAAGGCAGGCGCTTATGCTGCTGAGCTAAATCCCCAGCCCTACAATACAATTTGTAATAGCTAAATCTTGGAAACAACCTAAATACCCATCGACTGAGGAATGGATAAAAAAGATGATGTGGTATTTTTATACAATGGAGCACTACTCAGTCATAAAGAAGGATAAACTTGAGACTTTTATAGGTGAATGGACACAACTTGAGACCATACTCAGCAGTGAAATAAATGAAACATGCATGTGTAAACGTATTCTTTCGCTAATGGGAAGCTGAAACAATATATGTAATATATATAGATATAAATAAAACACAATGTATATACCATTGTCACCCTAATTATTGTGTTTTGAAATTTTAATTTTTTTTCTGTTTAAAATAGATTTGAGGGCTGGGGATTTAGCTCAGTAGCCTAAGCACTTGCCTGGCAAGTGCAAGGTTGTGAGTTCAATACCTGGTATCAAAAAATAAAAATAAAATAAAATAGATTTGAAAAGAAAAAAAATTTCGTCAGGGATTTGGCTCAGTAGTACAAGCGCCTGCCTGGCAAGCGTGTAGTCATGAGCTCGATGCCTGGTACAAAAAAAAAGGAAAAAAATTCTATAGGTGGTACTGACAGATTTAGCCAACATCTAACAAGCTATCCTGTAATCAAAAAGTGAGGAAATGCCAAGAGTGGTGGTGCACACCTATAATCCCAGCACTAAAGAGGATGAGGTAGGAAGGTCTCCAGGGTTTCAAAGTCATTGTCTGGTACATATTAAGTTCCAGGCCAGCCTGGACTACTTAGCAAGACCCTGTCTTTAAAAAAAAAAAAAAAAAAAAAAAAAGGAGGGGCTGGGGGCATAAGTGTCTGCCCGGCAAGTGTAAGGTCATGAGTTCAATCCCCAGTACCAAAAAAAGGGAAGAAAAATATTATTATAAAACATCTATGTACCTTCTAAGCCAAACAATATGGAACTTGTTTGTTATTCATCCAGAACAAGGGGGTTCAAAAGTCATTCACGATTTCCATTAGATCTAATACACCAAATAATTAAAATATATGGAGCAGCAAAATTCCAACCAGGACATCCATCATCGAAGTCTTCACCATTACATTTTTTTTTCACCATTACATTTAATAGGTAGACATTTTATTGAAATTATACCACCCTAGGGGAAAAACAGAAAGGCCAATATGACAATGTGAAGTATGTTGTTCAAAGACAATAATGCAAAAAAAATTTGGAAAGAGGCTCTATACTACTATCCAGATTGGAATGTTGCAATGTGTATTGAATGTTTTTATGCATATCATACACAGCCAGGCATCGTGACACACACCTGTAATCCCAGCACTTGGAGGCTGAGAGAGAAGGATCACCATGAGTTCATGGCCAGCCTGGGCTAGACAGTGTGAAGCCAGTGTGGACTACATGGTGAGACCTTGTCTCAAAAAAACAAAAAACAAAAATTAACAAAGAAGGGGCTAGGGGTTTAGCTCAGCGGCATAAGCACCTGCCTTGCAAGCAGGCAGTCGTGAGTTCAATCCCTGGTACCGATAAAAAGGAAAAAGACAAAAAAAAAAAAAAAATTAACAAAGAAAATGCTATTTTTGGTCAAACTGTATTTAAATAATCAGACTGCTAAGTGGGTAAGTCTCAATGTTAATTATATTGTTTTCTTAAACCAAACAGCACAAAAATGCCACAAAACCTAACCGAAAAGACGGATGAACATGAATGCTGAGAAAAGCCATGTCCGTATTTTTTTGTATTTTAAATTATCCTTATTTTAAAGTATCCTATTAAAAAATGGGAAAATTCATAAGAGTGACTCCCTTATAACAAATACAATTTATGTAAGTACAATTCAATTACATTCACAGCAGCATTGTGACCTTGTGTATTTTGCAACCTTTATGATTGATGTTAGGCATCAACTTCCTGCACCAAACAGTAAAACACACATACTGTAAATCCTTAAGAAAAATAATTTACTGAAAAAGATCATTTTTCTTGCAAAACAAACTGTTATAAACTCACAGCTAAAAGTATAAAAAGGATACAAACTTCAAGTTTACCCTTACCACACAGCAAAGCAATGTGAATGGAATAAAACAGACACCAGCACCAGTGACTAACACGCCCAAAAACTTAAGCACTACTTTTAGCAAAATCACAGAAACACTTCAAAAATTTACAAACACTTCAAAAGCTTATATTCTTTTAGTCTTTCATTTATTGCCTTTCCCATACATTTACACTTATGTGAACTTTTACTCTTCATCTGAACCTTTACTTTTAGCTGGACAATAATAAGTCATCACCTTTAAAATGCCAAGAAAATGAAACCTTCCGTTAAGGAGTTATGGAGAAAGAATTTTAAAAACAGAAACATTTGTAATTTGGGCTGGGCTGTAGCTCAGTGATAGAGCACTTGCCTGGCATCCGTGAAGTCCTAGGTTCAAATTCCCAGTAGCACAAATAAAAAAGTTAAAATAAATGACGTGGATTATTTTTAAGAGAGAGAGAGAAATGGATTTGTATTTAGTGACAACTGTCTATTCATTTAAATTAGTTCAACAACGTCCTATGAAATGGAGTTCCAATCACGGTAAGAAAGCACTTCTAAAAAGCAATGGAAAGGAGTGTTAAGGAAAGAGCAGCAACCTGACATTCTCTCACATCACTACCAAACCGCCCAGGTCCACCGCCGGGACGAGGACACACTGGGCCCGCGTCCCAGGAGCGGCGGTACGTTCTGTCAGACGCCTGCACTCCGCGCACCTGTCACCTCTTCTAGGGATGACCTACACCGAGAACACAGCCCGCTAGGGCCCGGCTCCGACTCCCGGGGATCTGGGCATAGGGTGAAGAAGGAAGGAGAACATTTTAAGCAAAGCTGCTAGGGCTCCGAGTCTTGGGACACTCTGAAGGCCAGAAACAACGACTTCAGGACAGAGGCCGCGACATCTCTCGGAATCCCCGCTCACCGAGCCGGGACAGCAGTAGAGGAACTCGGGTTCGCCCTGCTCTCCGGAGACGCCAAGTCACACCGGGTCGCCAAGCACCGCGAAGACCTCTCTACAGCGACCAGACAGGACACCCGACAGGGGTCCCGCGGAAAGGAAGGGCGGGCCGGCGGGCGCCCCACAGCCGGAAGGGGCGAGCCCCGCAAGCAGAGTTCCCTGCGGCCGGGCTCACCTTCAGGTCGTTTTCCGGCAGGTACTTGCACAGCCGCGCTATCTCCACATACTTGTCCAGATCTAGCGGCGCCATTTTAGGAATACCAAGCCGCGGTTGCAGTAGCGGCAGGAGCGCCGAAGGCTGTAGTAGCGGAGGCAGCGGCGGAGGCCGAAGCCGGAACTCTACCTACGTCACGTCCGGCCCTTCGGTGGCGTCTGCGCAGTGACGTTAAAGCGAGCCGCCGCTTGGGCACGCTCTTCATCCTCTCTGGAAGAAACCAGTCTTCAGGCGCCAAGAGACCCCCTCAGTCTCGATCTGGCGACCAAAATCTTTTGGGACTCGTAGTTGTCTGTCGCAGGGAGTTCTGGGACTTGTAGTTTTCAAGTGTGGCAAACTACTCTTCTTTCCCTGTTCTTGCACCCAAGTCACTTCGTGGGAGCAGCAAGGCTTTTCCGAGGTAACACGGCAAAGTGGGTGACTCCAGGGCCTAGACTCTACACCTCAGTTTCTCATTCCGACCGTTAAGCAATAGCTCATTAAAACATCTTCAGTTAAAAATTGGGTAAGGAGCTCAGTAGTACAGCGCCTGCCTGGCAAGTGCGAGGTCCTGAGCCTGATTCTCGGTACGCCCTCGCCGCCAAAAAAAAAAAAATGGGTAAGCTTAGCTAGCTATAACAGTTTTTTCCTACCTTTCCAAAGCCTTATGAAAACCTTACCCAGACCCATGGCACAGATATAAGGCTTACAGGACTCCTGCCCTGGAAAGAAGGAAAGCAAATGTTAAATGTGTTTGTTTTGTTTTGTTTTGTTTTGCTGTGTTCAGTTCTCATAACGACTAATAGGAATGCAAAGCATGGAGATGTTAACTTGCCCCACAACCCTTTTCCTTTTTTTTAAATTTTTAATTAACCAGGGATCAAACTCACTACCGCGCGCTTGCCAGGCAAGTGCTTATGCACCTGAGCTAAATCCCCAGCCTTGCACCACATCTCACAGGAAGCAGTGCAGAGCCAAGATTAAAAGATAGACTCCTAGTTTAAGCATACTGCCATGTGGGCCCCGTGAAGACAGGGAGTTTTTTTGTTGTATCCTCAGAGCCAAGAGTAGCACCTTTTAGCCTGGCATGGTGGTGCAAGCCTGTAATCCCTGCACTCAGGAAGCTGAGGCAGGAGAATTGCCGGAAGTTCAAGACCAGCCTAAGCTACATAGTGAGTTTAGGACCAGCCTGAAACACATAGCAAGACCCCATCTCAAACAAAACAAATAGTACTTGGCACTTAGAATACCTTTACCATTTGTTCATTCCATAATTATTTATTGAACACCATCTGTCCACCATGTAAAGTTGTAGGTACTGGAAATACTCAGAGAACAGAGAACACAATAAATAAAGATCTCTATCTTCAATCTGTAGTTTATATTCTAGTAAAGAAATACAGAATATAAACAGTAAATTGATTTACAATGTATTAAAAAGTTACATATGCTAGGAAAAAAAGCCCCAGCAGGGTAAGAGAAATGAGGTGGTACATTTTTAAGAGCCAATAATGTGTTAATGGTGGCATAAATCTGTGATCCCAGCACCAGGGAAGTTAATGCCCGAAGATTGCAACAAGATTCAGGCCAACTTGGCTTACATAAAGAGTTCAAGGTTAGCCTGAACTGACACAGCAATAGCCTGTCCCAAAAAACAAACCCCCAAAACTAAATAAATAAAATTGTAGTGTTTGTTTGTTTGTTTGTTTGTTTTTTAAATTGTAGTTTTAAAAAGTAGGTGAGTGAGGCCTGGTGCCTCACACCTTTCATCCCAGCAGTTGGAAGGCTGAGACAGGAGGATCACTGGAAGTTTAAGGCCAGCCTGGGCTATGTAGGAGTTCAAGGCCAACTTGAACTACATAGCAAGAACCTGAATCAAACAAAAAAAGGTCTGAGAGAAAAGAAATGCTAGTGCAGCCACATACAGAAACACCACAATAACATCCAGGAGGCACATTTATTTACGTGGACAGGCACTGATGGGATCATTCTCAGAATATCAGACCCTGATCTCTGATGTTCTAGAGCTTTTACATGATGGATAAGGAGGAGGTACAAAAGCAAGACAAAACAGCCTGGAAGCTCTGGTTAACTAATGAAGTGAGATCATCAGTAATGGCAGTAGATTAATGATCACCAGTTCATGAAGCTTGGGCCAATGGTACAATCAGCCATCCTGCATGTTTGGTGAAGCCCTCATAGTTACAGGGGTCAAGAAAGTAATTACAAAGCCATGAAGCAGTTACAGAGCTAGGCAGTTTCAAAACAACAAAGTTTTAAAAACAATAATTTCTCTTGTACAGTTTTTCCCTTTCACTAGTACATATGATTGAAGCAATGAGAGGAATGGAACAGGACAGCAGAAAAAAAGGAGTACATTGTTTTTTTTTTTGTTTTTTTTTTTTTTTTGTCTTTTTCATTTTTATCGGTACCAGGGATCGAACTCACGACCGCCTGCTTGCAAGGCAGGTGCTTATGCCGCTGAGCTAAATCCCCAGCCCCTGAGTACATTGTTTTTTACTTTTAACCTGAGGGGGAGTTACTGCAGTTTTAAACAGTAATAAAATGATCTAACTTCTTTTCAGAGGATCACCCCAGCTGCTGTATGGGACTGTAAGACAGTAATAATGTAACAGAGAACATAGGATACAGTTAAATCATCCAATACTAACACGTGACCAATAAGTATTTGTTGAGACCCCAGAATGAATCATCTTGCTGTAAAGTATATTTTGAGGACAACGAGCTAATGTTTTTGTTTTGTTTTGCCATGTTGAGGTGAACTGAGGGCCTCCCACATACTAGACAAATGTTCTACCAGAGTCCCAGTGGGAAAAATGTTAAGATTTTTGAATGAAGATCTTTGTAGTATTCCTTTTTTTTTTTTTTTTTTTTTTTTTGAGACAGGGTATGTAGCCCAGGTTGACTTCAACTCACTAGATATGTAGGCCAGCCTCACATTCTCAGTGATCCCTCCTGCCTTGGCCTCCTAAGTGCTAGGACTAAAGAAAGGCACAATACCCAGCTGTATTAATGGTATAACTGTTTTGTAAATATAAAATTATTTTAAAGTAAAATTAATTTTAAAAGTTTGTTGCAAAATGAATAAAGTCCACAAGCATTCATTTCTTCATGCAGCTCATAATTTCTGTGGGGTCTATGATGTGACTCACACAGCTATCCTCCTTGCCATAATGTGGCTTACATCTGGTAGGGCAGATAAATAATAAATATAGAAAGATTTAATTGCGCAAAGTTTGATTAGTGCTAGAGGGGAAAGGAGGAGGTATCAGTGAGACAAAGGGAGTAGAAGAGGCCTAAATTAGTTGACAAGGTAGTACAATTAAAATACACAGACTTGGAGTGTCGGGCATGGTGGCCCGCTCCTATAATCCCAGCACTCAGGAGGCTGAGGTAGGCTCATTGCAAGTTCAAGACCAGCCTGGGCTACAAGTGAGCCCGAGGTCAGCCTGAACCGCATAGCAAGACCCTGTCTCAAAAAGTTAAATAATAATAATAATACCTCATATGTTTGTATGAGATTTAATAGAGTTAATATCAGCGTCTCTTGGAGAAAAATCCCAAATGACAAAAAGAGGCTGTAGTTATTTCAGTTTTTCTTTTTTCTTTTTTTTTATAGTCAAATTTGAAAATTGGTAATTCACTTTTCATCTCTGAACCTGGATAACAGGGAGGAGGAAATTCTACCCTAGAAGATCCCTCTTGCAAACCTCATTGAGTGAATGTCTCCTCCACCCATCTGCAGTGGGCAAAAAGCAGGAAAGCACCTTTCAGAGTGTTGAGCAGGTTCCTGGGCAAGTGACAGACGCATCGGTTGATCTGGTAGACAGTGGACAGAGCTTGATGACAGGACAGTGTTGGCTTCTATAGGCCAGGAGATCTGGGCTCCAGCTTCTGCCATCTGTGTCAGTAAATCATTTTAAATTCTCCAGATCTTAACTCCCATTTTCAAAAATAGATTTCAGATGTTCCTTCTTAGATTCTCAAGTATGATCTCTAGTCTAAAGGCACAGACCTTTGGTTTCCCAGGGATATAGCTTAGCAGCACAGTGCCTGCCTGGCAAGCATGAGATCATTAGTTCAATTTCCCTTACAAAAAAAAGTAAATAAATAAATAAATGGATACACCTGGGGCTGGGATGTAGCTCAGTGGCATAAGCGCCTGTCTTGTAAGCAGGCAGTCGTGAGTTCGATCCCCGGTACCGATAAAAAAGAAAAAGACAAAAATAAATAAATAAATAAATAAATGGATACACCCCACAATGAAAAATGGCGGGTTTTTTTGCCCACAAAACTTCCAACCTTTCTTATACATGTGCCTGTCCCAACATGGCATGGCCAAAAGACACAGAGGACACAAGAACCTTCTGCCCCTCTGAACACAAATCACCATCTAGATCCACATGGACATATGGCAGATCCGCCCACCCTTGGTTTTCTTTTTCAAAGGACAGCAGAATGATTGATGTCCTTAAACTCCTATTTGGCAGATGGTCAGTGGGAGCTTTCCATTAACATGAGTCTCAGGAAGACTCCAGGTTTTAGAAATAGAATCCTTTAGCAATGAGGAGAGCTGTGGACCTTCAAGTCCATTTTGTCTATAATTTTTTTTTTTTTATCATTACCTGGGATTGAACTCACCACTGCTTGCTTGCAAGGCAGGTGCTTATGCCGCTGAGCTAAATCCCCAGCCTCATAAATTTTTTTTTGATACCAGGAATTAAACTCAGGACCCTGCACTTGCTAGGCAGGCACTATGCTAATGAGCTATATCCTCAACCCCTTGTCTATAAATATTTTTTTTGTCATAAATTTTGGTTATGCTTTCAAATAGCTAAAAAAAATAAGCCTTTGACTTGTATTATCAAATCCTCTCAGTAGTTCTCTACACTATAGGTTATTACTATCCTATTCAGTACATGAGGAAACTGGAGTGCAGAGAGTGTGATAAATTTGCCACTGTCAGAGTTGATGGTTTGTGCCAGAGCCTGGAGTTTTCTTTTTCTTTTTCAGTATTGGGGATTGAACCCAGGGCCTTTATACTGAGCTAATTTCAATCCTCTTCTTTGGTTTGTTTGTTTGTTTTGAATTCTGAGACAGGGTCTCACTAAATTGTCCAGGCTGGACTCACACTTGTACCCCTCCTGCCTCTGCCTCTTCTAAGTGCTGAAGCCTGAATCTGAACCCAAGTACATCTTACTTCATCTCACTAAGCTACCCTAGTGCTACAGTCCCAGAATTCCCATTGTTTCCAACCTCAGCTTTTTCTTCTAATTCAGGGAATACAGTTTTTAGGATCAGACATATATGAGCTATTTCTCCAAGTTTTTTGTTGGTTGGGTTTTTTGTTTGTTTATTTGGTTGGTTTTTTGGTTTAGTTTTTTTGTTTGTTTGTTTGTTTGTTTGTTTTGTCTTTTTCCTTTTTATCGGTACTGGGGATTGAACTCACGACTGCCTGCTTACAAGGCAGGCGCTTATGTCGCTGAGCTAAATCCCCAGCCCTAGTTTTTTTTGTTTGTTTTGAGACAGGGTCTCACCTTGTAGTTCAGAAGGCTGGCCTTGAACTCACTTTGTAGCCTGGGCTGGCCTTGAGTTTGTAGCAGTCCTCTTTCCACATTATGAGGTAGCACAGGGAATCTAGGGCTAGGAAGCACAGCAAAGACAATACAGATAGACAGACCCAGAGACCATAGTTTATACACAGTGGAGACCAACTCAGTATCAAGCCCAACCCCTGGGTGGAGCACTTTATACATTGTCTCTTGTATTCCCCATACTCTCCTTGGTTGACTTGTTTTATTTATTTATTTATTTTTAATTTTTTTTTTTATCAGTACCGGGGGATCTAACTCAGGACCACCTGCTTGCAAGGCAGGTGCTTATGTCGCTGAGCTAAATCCCCAGTCCCGACTTTTTTCTTTTGAGACAGGATCTCCCTATGTTGTTCAGGTTGTGTGTGTGTATGTGTGGTTTTTTTTTTTTTCTTTCTTTTTAAAATAAACAATCTCTGGCAGGTGCTTGTTAAAGGTTTTGGGTTTTGTTTTGTTTTATTTTGTTTTGCTTCGTTTTTTGTTTTTTGTTTGAGATAGGGTCTCATTGTATAGTTCAAACTGGCCTTGAACTCCCTTATGTAACCCAGGCTGAGTGCTGGGATTACAGGCATGTGTCACCACACCTGGCAAGTTTTATTAATGAAAAATGTTGCATGGTTTATTTTTCACCAGTCTGTTCTGGCATGTTTCCAATGATATCAGAGTCACCTGGATCAGTGATCACCAGTGCGCATACTCCGTAGTATTTTCCACATGCTGCATCCAGTTCAATTTTATTGCCACTGTAGTGGTGGACTCCAGTTTTGGCCACCATGGTATAGTACTCTATTTCAGATTTCCTCAGAGCTCAGCAGTTGGTGGCAAGAATGACTGATTTCGCTTTGCCTTGGCTGATTAATTTCAGCAGCCTGTTTTGGGTTTGTTGTTGTTGTTGTTGTTGTTTGTTTTGTTTTTTGAGACAGGGTCTCACTATGCAGTTCAGGCTGGTCTTAAGCTCACTTTGTAGCCCAGGCTGGTTTCAAACTCGCAGTAATCTTCCTGCCTCAGCCTCCTGAGTTGCAATTACAGGGTTACAGGCCACCATGCCCTACACAGCATCTGCTTTTACTCCAGCAGGTTCTTTCCACTTTTCGTTACAAGTGGAGCCTAGAGTTGTTGGACTCCAGAGATCTTCCCATCTAAGGTACGGACAATCCTCTACTAAGAGCAGCGGCCACGATGGTCAGGGAGCAAAAAAGAAAGCTCAGGCTAACCTTGAATTCACTATGTAGCCCAGGCTGGCCTCGAATTTACAGCAGTCCCCCTGCCTCAGTCTCCAACTGCTGGGATTGCAGGTGTGTACCATCCTGCTGTGCTTCATGGACTTTTTATTCCTTGGACCCTTTAAAACCGCCCCTAGTTATTTTGTTTGTTTTTGTTATTGTTGTTATTCAATAATACTCTGATTAGATTGTAAACTCCTGGAGACCAAGAGCACATCATCTGGAGCCTGCCATGATAGTGAACAGCATTAGAGAATGTATGTGCCATTTAGCGCCACATGATTTGAACTGGCCTCAGGACTGCGCCGGCAGATTGCACATTGGGGAAAGCACCGCAGCTCTCCCTTTTGAAGCTGTTTCTGCTGGGTTGAAGCAGGAAGATGGCTGTCAGTTTGAAGCCAGCCCAAACTGCAAAGCAAGACACTGAGTCAAAAACAAAACAAAACACCCAAACCGTTGGGCATGGTGGTACAAGCCTGTCATCCCAACACTCTGAAGGCTGAGGCAGGACTGCTGCTGACTTGATGACAGCATAATGGCTACATAATCTCAAGGTCAGCCTGAACTACACGTAGTGAGAACCTGTCTCAAAAAAGCAAAACAAAGCAGACCAAAAACCAACTAAGCCAGTCCTTGCTACCACTGTCACTAAAAATGCAAGAGATAGTTCCTTTAAGATAGACCAGCTGCTGCCCAAGGAATTTGGGTCACCCTCGTGGACCTCAGCTCCAGTCATTTCTCTTGTGAATTGTTTCCAGGTAGCTAGTCTTATTTACCTGGCCGTTCCTGGTAGGGTTCGACCGGTTCCCCGGGATACTGGGGACTCAGAGCTCTTTCTGCCTAGGCTCAGGAGGCCCCGGAACGCTAGGGCAGCACGAACTGCTAACCGAGGGAGAAGCCGGGCACAGCGATTGGCGCCGACCTGCTTCCGGGACCCGGAGGAGGGGCTGAGTGTACGCCCCGCCCCTGTGGGCGGGACCAGGCCTGAGACTTTCCTAAACCTTTGCAGGTAAAGTGTGCCTGGGCACACTTTAATAAAGTGGTCTCTGGCCAGGTTCGGGTGGAAAGGCGGACCTTGAAGGGGCCCATCTGCGCCCTTTAGGGGACCAAGCTGTAGTCTGCTGGAAAGGGTGGTGTCCTCGATCTCTGGTCCTGCCGCATTGCCTGAAGGTGAGCAGCCATTGCTCTCCTCACCCTATCTGCTGTCCGTCCTGAGAGCTGCCACACGAGGATGGGGCTCCCGAGGACTGGAGGGAGGAGGAGGAGGGGTGCTGAGCGAGGTTCCCGTCCACATGAAGCCTGCACTGCTAAGCTCTGGCCCCTGGGGACTGCAGTCAGTGACCTAGGACGCAGGTGCAGTTTCTTCTTCTGTCCCTTGTTTCACTGTTTCTGCATTCACTCATTCATCTCTCATCTCAATGCTGGGTCCATTGGTATGGGACAGCCCCAGCACTCTAGGAAGTCTAGTGGAATTTAGTCTCTAATCTAATCTAGAGATTTAAAAATAGATAATGGCATTGAGAGTGATTCTTGAAATGCCGGTAACTTAATAGATACTAGCAGAGCTCAGAAGCAGAAGAAACTAGCTTGGGGAAGTAGAAGTGAAAAGCAGAAAAGCAGGGAAGGTTTCATTGCAGAAAGGACATTTGGACTGGGCAATGCAGGTTGACTAGTAGTTTGCATGTTTATAAGCAGGGGTTTCAAGGACAGCAGCTCAGGTTACAAGCTACGAAAGTGCCCCCCTTGGGGCTGGAGATTTTGCCTTGCAAGCCCATGGTCGAGAGTTCGATCCCCTGTACCGATAAAAAAAAAAAAAAAAAAAAAAAAAAATTAAGGGGGCTGGAGATTTAGCTCAGCGGCATAAGCGCCTGCCTTGCAAACAGGCAGTCGTGAGTTCGATCCCCGGTACCGACAAAAAAAAAAAAAAAAAAAAAAAATTAAAAAAGAAAGTGCCTACCGTATTAGAGGAAAGCAAAAAGGCCAATATTACAAGAGTTGAGCTGAATTATCAGAAAAAAAGTTAAACTCAGAAGGCATGACCTTCTGTGCCATGGAGAGTCAAGATTTATCCTAGAATTAACTATTTCTCAGTCTCCTAAGGTGTTTTGTCTTTGATAAACATAAATATTCTATGACCTTTGAAATTCTTATATATGATACTTCCCCATGAGCATGTCAGAAAAATGTAGTCACAAAACTTACATAGTTATGTTAAGGACTGGGGGTGTAGCTTACAAGTACTCACCTAATGTGTGAAGCCCTGGGTTCAACCTCTAGCACCAAATGGGTGGGGGGAGGAAAGGAAAGCAAAGAAAAAAATCCCTATGAAAAGATTGGTGGCACATGTCAGTGATCCCCATTACACAGGAGGCTGAGGCAGGAGAATGGCAAAGTTCCAGCCCAATTTGGGCAATTTAGAAAAACTATCACAAAGTAAAATATAAAAAGGGATGAGGATGATGCTTATTCAGAGCAATTAGGCCTTAAATATTGGAACTTTGAGTAGGAGAGGCTTAAAAGGAGTGATGGACCTTGCCCAGATTTGTTGTTTTAGGAAGAAGATAATCATAAATGTCTAAAAAGTTCCTTTTTTCTTATGCATAGGACACCATGAAGCAACTGCCCGTCTTGGAGCCTGGAGAGAAGCCCAGGAAAGCAACATGGTCTGTAATAAGTAACTCACAGACACACAAATATGAGTTTTGTTTCATTTATAAGTTCACTAACATTTGAACATGAACAAGAAAGGGTAGAGATGAAACTGTTACACTTCCTGGTAATTAGACTCAGACTGTCAGAGATGGTCTTGGTGGGTGGGATAATTATCTCAGAACAGATGCTAATTTTATTAAATCCATTTGCCAAGAAGAGGGAGGCACTGACCATCTGGCATCCCAGGTTCCAATGCTGTGTCTTCCCCTGGACTAAGAGTCATTTTTAGGACTTTTAGGGAATTGAATTTGGATTAAACTGGTGCCAGTGTTTTCTTGGCTGTTCAGTTAGCCCTTCATTCCACAAGGAACTCAGGGGGCAGGGGCTGCTGTGTAGGGTTTGGGGCTCAAAGGTAAATAGTCCCTGGGTAGCCAGGGTACAGACAAAGCAGAAGACGGTGATGGTCTGTGATCACTGCTGACACAGGGCTCATAGGAGGCTGCAGAGAGGTGACAGTGTTTCCCTGAAACCCTGAAGAACAGCTTCCACTCTGATTTCCCTATGTCCATCTTGCTTAATTCCCAGCACACATCTGACCGTGGCATTGCCAAGCTTTTTGTATGATGGACTTTTTTTTTTTTTTTTTGGTACCAGAAATCGAACTCAGAACCTCATGCTTGCCAGGCAAGTGCTTATGCTGCTGAGCTAAATCCCTGGCCCTGATGGATTGTTTTTTGAGGCAGAGTCTCATTATTTAGCTCAGGCTGGTCTTAAATCACCATGTAGTCCAAGGTTGTCTCAAACTTGCGGTGATCTTTCTGCCATAGTCTCCCAAGTACTGGGACTTACAGGTGGACACTGCCACATCCTGCCAGCCTTCCTTAGTTTAAAACCCTTTAGAGGACTGGGGATGTAGCTTAGGAGTAGAACAGATGCCCAGCATATGTAAGGCTCTGGTGCTAGCCCCTGGGTTCTATTTCCAGCAGTATGAAAACAAAAAGCCAAAACCATACTCCTTATACTGGCCTGTTTGGCCTTACATAATCTGTTTTCTTCCTGTCTTTCCAAATTTACTCATTCTTTGCCCTCTTACTCTCCCTTTAACATACCCTGCCCTGTCCCATTTGGGAACTGTATTACCCAGACTTCTCTTTCCTTATGCTTTTCATCTGTTCCTTTGCCCAACTAAATCTAGTGCTTTAAATCTCAGTTCAATTGATGCTTGTTCAAGAAGCCTCCTCTGGCTACCCCATCACCACCTCTCCTCTGATGCTGTTTGCTCACCTGTCTGTCCTATTTTTTTAATTTTTTGTTTTGAAATAAAGCCTCACTCTGTAAAGTAGACTGGCCTTGAACTCAAGATCCTTCTGATCCTTGCAAGTTCAAGACCAACTTGGGCTACAAAGTGAGCTTAAAGCCAGCCTGAACTGCATAGTGAGACCCTGTCTCAAAAAAGACTAAAAAATAGGGGCTGGGGATTTAGCTCAGTGGCATAAGCGCCTGCCTTGCAAGCAGGCAGTTGTGAGTTCGATCCCCGGTACCAATAAAAAGGAAAAAGAAAAAAAAAAGACTAAAAAATAAAGATCCTTCTGCCTCAGTTTTCAGCATGCAAGGATTATAGGCATATACCACCATGTCTAGTTTATCCTGTACTTTTTTTATAACTGAAATGAAGTAAATAATTGCTGAGATTGTTAGTATTTTTCTTTGCAATTAATCTCTAAGGGCTATAAAGGCAGTGAAATTTTTGGCTTATTTATAATTTATCTGAATGTCTATGTGTTCTTCTAAGTTAACCTTTTGCCTTTTTCTTTTTCTTTTTTTTTTTTTTTTTTTTTTTTTTTTTTGTCTTTTTCCTTTTTATTGGTACCGGGGATCGAACTCACAACTGCCTGCTTTCAAGGCAGGCGCTTATGCCGCTGACCTAAATCCCCAGCCCCTTGTTTTTTGCTTTGAGACAGGGTCTCACTATGTAGCCCAGGCTGGTCTTGAACTCCTGGCACTCCTCCTGCCTCAGCCTCACTTGGCCAGACCTTTTAACTTTTTTAAGCCTCAGTTCCTCAATTGTAAAACTCAAATGACAATAGTATGAATTCTCAAAGGATTTCTAAACAGATGGGAAAAAACTAGGGTTCAAATGTGCTTAGCATCATTTGTGGTACATTGTTAGTAGCTGTTCACATGGTAATGGGATATGTGAGTCCGAAAAGTCATAGGAGAAAGAACAAGAAACAGTTTGGAAATCACTGATGAACAGAGATAAGCCAGGCATGGTGGTGCCCCTCTGTAATTCCAGCACTCTGCAAGCCATGCCCAGGAAACTTAGTAACTTAGAAAGACCCTGTCTCAAAATCAAAAATAAAGAAAAGGCTGAGGATGTAACTCAATGTGAAAGGTCCTAAATTCAATCTTAGGTACTAGAATATAAAATAAAATTTATTGGGGTCTTGGCCTACCCTCAATCTCCTAAACGAGTGGATAGCAAATGGTTTATATAAAAGAGACCAGTGGTATGATTTTGGATCATCCCGGAAGATGAGAATCATCTTGGGAATAAAGACAAAGAGCTTCACCAAACAGCTCTATTTATTTGGTTTTCAAACAAAGGGAGAGGATACTGAGGCGAGCACAGGAACTGAGCAGGACTTTGGGAGTCAGTTCAAAAACTTGTTCCAAGAAACACATTTTCCCATTAAGAGAACTACCTTATCGCTAAGGAGGGCAGCTTGATTGCTCTGAAATGGAGCAGCAGCCCATGTCCTAGGCCGCCTCAGTTGTGGTTTTCTTGACTTCAGAGCACTAGGCATACACCGTCTTCTAACACAGCCACAAGTCCCTGTGCTCCGTGACTTAGCCCTACTCAGCCCAGTCTCCCAACAAAAATTAAAATTTAAAGAAGGTAAAAAGATAGTAGATTGAGGAGAGGAGAATTCTGAGGATGCTGAGCATTAGGAGGACCCTGGAGCATTAGAAGGAAAGGAGTCCAAGAAGAAAACAGAGCAGGGCCTGGGGATTTAGCTCAGTGGCATAAGCACCTGCCTTGCAAGTGTGTGGTTGTGAGTTCGATCACTGGTACCGGTAAAAATACAAAAAAAAAAAAAAAAAAAAAAAAAGAAAGAAAGAAAGAAAGAAAGAAAGAAAACAGAGCCCCATAAAAGGTAGAGATCTAGAAGTAAACCAGACAAGGTAGTTGGCACACCTCAGTAACCCTAGCTACCTGGAGGCTATAGCAGGAAGATCACCTGAGCCCAAGAGTTCATGACCTGTTTGGGCAACATAATAGGACCTGGAGTGACAGAGACAGAGATAGAGGAGCTGGCGATTTAGCTCAGCAGCATAAGCACCTGCCTTGCAAGTGTACGGTCATGAGTTCCATCCCTGGTACCAATAAAAAAGAAAAAAAAAGAGACAGAGGCACCAACCCCCCCATCCCAAAGGGAGGGTGTGGGGAAGCCACGTTACTATTTTACAAATGAGGAAACTGAAGTTCCAAAAGGTTATTTTGTTTAGAGACAGGGTCTCACTATGTAGTTCAGGCTGGCCTTGAACTCAGTATGTAGCCCAAGCTGTCTTTCAATTCACAGCACTCTTCTTGCCTCAGCCTCCTGAGTGCTGGAATTATAGGCACGTGCCACTGTGCGTGGCTACAAACTACCAAGATGTACCCGTGAACGTTTCTGGATGTCAGTTTCCCCATCTATCAAGCAACAACCTTCCTAGTACTGTGTATTCCCTGTAGATTACCATGAGGTGAGAGTAGGGACAAAATTGAACAGCAAAGGACTCTGAGCAAAGGAAAGATACCGTTGGTGATCAGGGATGCACTGCTCTGCTGGTCACAGGGTGTCTGTATATCATACCCTTCCTCCCAGTGGCTGTTGCACAGAGAATGGAAGGAACACACTGGTCCTTTGCTTCTCTGCTCAGACCTCTTGAAAGCGTCCTCCTTGGCAGGTACACCTTGACACCCCCCGGAGACAGCCCTTGTGCTCGAGTTGGCCACAGCTGCACATATTTACCTCCAGTTGGTGATGCTGAGAGAGGGAAGATCTTCATTGTCGGAGGAGCAAATCCAAACCAAAGCTTCTCAGATGTGTACATCATGGATCTGGGTAAGACCAACAGCTGTGGAGCCCAGCTGGCTTTGTGCTGACAGCTGTGGGCAGAGCACCCCTAAGAATGCTAGCTCAGACCAGACAGAAGTTTTCCTCTAAAAAAAAAAAAAACAGGACACCACGGACATGTCCCAAAGATCTCAGCTGAGCTCATACATGCAACTGGAAGACCAATACTTTCTCATTTGGGGGGAAAGTACTTATATGGAGCCTGTACCATCCAGCCATTCACTCATCAGATACTTCTTTAGTAGACAGCAGTGACTCCTGCCTGTCCTTTCATCCAGGTATCTAATCAGTCATCAAGTCCTAGATACCGCCTATCTTCAGCCTTATCTTCCCACTTCCACTGTGACCACTGTAGCCCAAGGCACTGTTACCTCTCAGACTGGGGACTCACCTCCTTGCTGGTCTTCCTGCTTTCTGGTTTACCCACTGTACAGTGCATTTTCCCGTACCTAGCCAGAGATTGTCATTTCAAGTACAAACCCAACTGCACCACTTCCCCTGCTCAAGCTTCTTCCAACTTCGTCTCCACACTTGTTGCTCTGAATGTCCTTCGGTTCCTTTGGTCACATCCTGAACTCTGCCTTCCATGCCATTGCACACACAGTGGCCTCTGCTTGGAAAGATGTTCTCATTTTGTTATCTGACATCTGGCTACAGATCTCACGTCACATGTCATGAAGCTTTCCCTGCCACCTTTGGACTAGTTTAGACATCGTCCTCCTCTACGTGCCCATAGTATTTTATACACTTCTGCCATTTCCCTTGTTTCAGCTTTAGCACATGTGATTCTTATCTGTCTGTTCCATAAGAATATAAACTGCTCAAAAATAGGGGAAGTGGTTATTTTGCTCATTGCATCCCCAGCCACTACCAGACAGAGCACTTTGCGTTGAGCAGGTATTTTATTTTAATGCATAAATGCGTTAACAAACTCATAAATGAGTTACCATTATATGCTGTACATAAGGGCAGAAGTTAAAAACTAGTGACCCATATACATACTTTATTAGGATCATGTAACATTTCTGTTGATATTGTGATCTTAAATTGTTTACAAACCATTTTGGGATACATAGTGAGTTCAAGGCCAACCTGGAATACATAGCAATATTCTGTCTCAAAAAACAAAAACAAACTTCTGTCTGTTCCTTTCTTGGAGATTGAATCTAGGAACTCTTGAATTCTAGGCAAGTGCTGTACCACTGAGCTAATATGCCATTTGCTGTTGTGATCACTTTAAAGGTCTAATGTCAGTAGGCTTGTGCATCTGTTAGACAGTCATTTGGAGCTAGCTGCCACCCATTGACGGGGCTTTTGTTCTCCAAGTTGCCATAGTTCTTGCTACTCCTCTCTAGACATGGGAATTTTTCACCCTGCACTAGAAGTCAAAGCTAAGTCTTTCCCAGCAGGGTGCTTGACTCACCTGTGCAAGATTGCAAATCTGATCCCTAGCACTGGGGGAACAAAAAAGCACAAATCTCCTCCAGGCATCAAGAGCTCACTGACTAGTTCAGTTACCTGTGTATTTGGTTTGCAGATCTGAGCAAATCCAGGCTTTGTGCGCGCCAGGCATGTGCTTTTCCCTGAATCATAACCCCAGCCCACTGCTGCCAATTTATTGCAGTCTATTACTATCTTTATGAGTCTGGCTAAACCACTTACACCATCTGGACCTCAATATCCCTTAAAGCGACTGCTTTATTTAGTAGGCATAATGATCCAGTGAGATAATGTTTATGAATAGCTTATGTAAGTAGTTTGCTAACCAAAATAACTAATAGGTTAGGTGTTATTATTCAGTGAATGCACTTTAGCCAGATCATTTAATTTATTTACAGGTACTAGGAACCCACTTAAACCAGGGAGAAAAAAAGAGAGAGAAAAAAAAATTATATAGAGAGTAGGAGTGTCTGCAGAATCCAAGGGCCAGAAATACAGCCTCATGAGACAGTGGATCTGATTGGCCATTGGGTCAGTGGCTATCTCCCACCAGTCAGCCGAGGATACAAGGCCAAGGTGTGGTGTGCACACGTTTTGTGGGCTCTACCCTTGTTGTTAGGAGGGAGAACAGGAACAGTTGCCATGGAAGAAAGTTTTTAGATTAAGAAGACAGTCCCCAAAGTATCTCTTATCCAACTTTCTAAAACTTGACCACCTTTCTTTTAAGTGATTTAACTGATTTTATTTGTTCATTTGTGCTTTTATTTTATTGGGTTTTTAAGACACTAGGTAGCTCAGGTTGGCCTTAAATCACAGCAGTGTTCCTGCCTCAGTCTCTTGAGTTCTGGGATTATAGACATGTGTCAACGTGCCCAACTCTTTCTTATGCTTTTGGCCTTCTTCTCTTCACTGCCCTTCCTAAGTCTGTCAAGCAGTTGGCAGCCCCCATCTAGGAACTGGGTAAAATGTTTTCTAGGAACACACCAGTGGAACTTGGCCACCCAGGAGGGCCTCTTGCCCCGCTATGAACATGCTAGCTTCATTCCCTCCTGCACACCTGACAGCATCTGGGTATTTGGAGGAGCTGATCAATCAGGAAACCGAAATTGTCTACAAGTTCTGAATCCAGGTAAGTAGCCAAAGGTTATTTTATTTTCATCGTGCATGCATAAATTCAATTACAGTTCCAGTACATTTGGATTGCAGTAATTAATCTATTTAACTTTGCTGACCTCCTAGAAGATAGGAATTTATCAGCTCCACAGATCTCAGAGCTGGAAGGGCGTTGGAGAACAGTTATGCCAAGTGGACATCTCAGGTCTAAGGAGGGGTGGAGGGGGAAGTGACTTTTCTAAAGCCCCCAGAGAATTCGTGACTGAGCCAGGCTAAGACCCAAGTATGCAGATCAGTGGTGATTATGCCCACTGTGGCATTAGTCCACATCTGGAAACAGTGTTGGTCATCATAGCTGGGTCATATACCTGGCTTTGGTTTTACTTTTTTAAAATTAAGTTTATTGGTATGATTTAGATATATATAATGATCACATTCATCATAGGGAATTTGTACCTGTTCGTGACATATTTTAGTTCCTCTTTTTTTCCATTCTTTTCCTCTTTTTTCTTTGGTTAACTATAGTCAGCAGTAGTCTAAAAATATTAAATGGAAAACTCCATGCTTTCTAATATGTCAAAGGGCTTGGGTTCAGTTCCCAACACAGGGTAAAAAAAGAAGGAAGAAAGAAAAAAAAGGAACAAAAATTAAGAATTCTTTTATTATAGTACAATGCTATAGTTCTATTTTGTTATTATTGTTAATTTTCTACTGTGTCTAATTTATAAATAAAACTAATTTTTTTTTGTACTGGGGACCAAACTCACGACCTTGCACTTACCATGCAAGTGCTTAAGCCACTGAGCTAAACCCCCGGCCCTAAATTAAACTTTATAATATGTATGTAATGTTTGATAGGAAAAAATATTTTTATGTATTTTTTATCTCTAGGTAAATATGTGCTGTAGTCAAAAAATACGGTGACTATTTAATTTTTTTTCAGTGTATTACTGTAAAAGACAATGGTGCCAGCAGTCCTGCTCACAATACTCCCCTCATTTTGAGCACACTTATTCTATCATTCTGGGCATTTTATGAAGCAGTTCTGGAAGTCCTGTGCACTGCAATCCTTGTACTGTGCTGGCTTCCTCGAAATCCTGAATCAACTAAACAAATTTTCTTTGCATGGTCAGTCTGACTTTGGAGGAGAACCAGACGTCTCAGTGGCAGATCCAGTATCTTTTTTTTTTTTGTTTGTTTGTTTTTCTTGCTACTAAGGATCCAACTCACAACCTTACACACTTACCAGGCAAGCGCTTGGGCCACTGAACTAAATCCCTGGCCCTGTTTACCAGGATGTTTATTGAGGATTTTTATATCTATGTTCATTGGTCCATAGCTCTCTTTTTTGATTTGGATCCTTCTCTGGTTTTTTTTTTTTTTTTTTTTTTTTTCGTTTTTATCAGTACTGGGGATCGAACTCACGACTGCCTGCTTGCAAGGCAGGTGCTTATGCTGATGAGCTAAATCCACAGCCCCCCTTCTCTGGTTTTGATATTCGGGTAATGCTTGCTTCCAGGAATGAATCTGGGAGTATTACTGCACTTTCAACTTTATTAAAAAGTTTGAGAAGTAGTGGCATTAGGTCTTCTCTAAATTTCTTGTAGAGTTCATCAGTGAATGTGTCAGGGTCTGGGCGTTTCTTTGTTAGTAGGTTTTTAATTAATTACATCTCAATTTCATTGACATAATTGATTTATTTAGACTTTGTGTATGTGTCTAGGAACCTGTTTATTCTGTTTTCCACCTTATTAGTACACAGGTTCTTGAAATAGGTATTGATAATCTTCTGAATTTCTGCAGGATTTGTTGTGATATTAACCTTTCTAATCCTAGTTGCATGGATTTGAGTCTTTTCTTTCTTCTTCTTTTTTTTTTTTTGATCAGGTTGGCTGTGTTTTTCAATTTTATTTCCTCTTTCAAAAAATTATTCAATTCATTGATTCTTTCTGTTGTTTTCTTAGTCTCCATTAAATTAATTTGATCTTTATAATTTCCTCCCTCTTATGAGCTTTGGGCTTGATTTTCTCTTCTTTTTCGAGAAGGCTAAGGTTCAACATTAGATTATTTATTTGAACTTGCTCTATTTTTCAGATATGAGTGTTCATCACTATAAATTTCCCTCTTAGGACTGCTTTTATTATGTATCATAAGTTCTGATATGTGGTATTGGCCTATTTGTTTAATTGTGGGAACTGTTTAATTTCATCATGACCCATTGGTTGTTCAAGAGGGTGTTATTTAATTTCCATGTGTTTATAAAATTCTTGTGGCTTCTTTTGCTATTGATTTTCAATTTCATTGAAATGGTCTGGTAATATACATAGGGTAATTCAGTTCCTCTGCATTTACTGAAACATGTTCTATAATGGGGCTGGAGATTTAGCTCAGCGGCAGTCGTGAGTTCGATCCCTGGTACCAATAAAAACAAAAAAGACAAAAAAAAAACCCAAAAAACAAAAAACCGCGTTCTGCGAATTAATACGTAGTCTGTTTTGGAGAACACCCCATCTACAGCTGAGAAGAATGTATGTTGTGATGTTGTGGGGTGGAGCACTTTGGAGATACCTACTATCTACAAAGATACCTACTATCTACTATCTACAGTTTATTCAAAAGTTAGATTCAGTTCCTAATATTTCAGTTCCTGATATTTTGTCTGGTTGACCTATTTATGACAGTAAGATACTAAGATCCCTCATTATAATTGTATTAGTGCTTATTTGACTTTTCATATCCATTCATATTTGTTTTACATAGTTGGGTCTGCTGGGTTTTGGTGCACATATATTTATATTTTTTTTTTGTTGTTGTTTTTTGGGTTTTTTTGTTTTGTTTTGTCTTGTCTTTTTCATTTTTATCGGTACCTGGGATCAAACTCACGATTGCCAGCCCCTGGTGCATATATATTTATGATTGTTATCTCTTCCTCTTGGATTATTTCCTTTACAAAGTAGTAGTGACCTTCTTTGTCTGTCTTAATCATTCTTTGTCTGAAATCTCCTTTGTCTGCAAATAGAATATCTAGGCAGCTTACGCGGCTTTTTTCCAGGTCTCTATGGTGTGGAGTATGTTTTCCATCCTTTGACTTTTAGTCTATGAATTTGTTATTGAATTAAGTGTGTTTCTTGTGTGCAGCATATTCTTGGGTCCTGGTGTTTTGGAGGGAGGTGGGTCCTGTTGATTTATCCTATTTTTTTTTTTTTTTTTTTTGTACTGGGGATCGAACTCACAGCCTCATGCTCACCAGGCAAGCACTTACACAACTGAGCTAAATCCCCAGCATTTCAACTTTTTTTTTTTAGTGGTTCTGGGGATTGAACGCATTACTGTGCATGTCACTGAGCTAAATCCCTGGCCCTTCAACAAAAATTTTTTTTTGATCAGTGAATAGAGACCATCAACATTTGATGGTTATAACTGATCTGTGTTGACTTATCCTTATCATGTTATTTCCTGTTGTTAGCTCCCTTTTCCCCCTCTCTGTTTACTTGCTTGCCTTGGCTGGTATACTCATTCTGTTGGGGTTTGTGGAATTACAATCCTTGTTATCTCTTTCTAGAACATCCCTCAGAAGATTTGGAATGCTAGTTTGGTGGTCATGAATTTCCTCAGGTGTCCTTTGTCATGGAAATATCTTATTTCTCCATCAACTTAGAAAGATATTTTTGTGGGATACATCAGTCTTGGTTGGAGATTGTTTTCTTTTAGGACTTGAAATACTTTACTCCAAGATCTCCTTGACTGGAGGGTTTATGTTGAGAAGTCAGCTGTAATTCTAGTGAACTTTCCTTTACAGCAATTTGTTTCTTTTCTCTTATGGCTTTTAATATTTTGTACTTGTGCTGAATTTCTAGATATTTGACTATTGTGCACCTTCGTGTAGATTTTTATTTTTATTTTTTTGGTACAGGGGATTGAACTCATGACCCTGCACTTGCCAGGCGTGTGCTGGTGCTGCTCAGCTAAACCCCTGACATAGATTTTTTTAAAATCTTGACTAATTGGAGTTCTATATCCCTCACTTACCTGTATATCATTCCACCCACCCCCAGGTTGAGAAGTTTTCTGCCATTACTTCTGTGACCAGGTTTTTTCTTTTTTTTTCATTTCTATCATTGACTCTGATCAATCATGTATTGTTCTTTCATATCATCTAGCAGCTGCTGGATTGATTTCTTGTGGTCACTTGCTTACTTTTAAAAAGTCTTTCTTGGGGCTGGGGATTTAGCTCAGCAGCATAAGCGCCTGCCTTGCAAGCAGACAGTCGTGAATTTGATCCCCAGTACCGATAAAAAAGAAAAAGACAAAAAAAAAAAAAAAAAAAAAAAAAAAAAGAAGTCTTTCTTTTCATGACTACTAACCACAATCCTGTATCCTGTGTTCTGTGTCTGAGATTTTGTCCTCACATTGGCTCATTCTGCTGCACATACTTTCAATAAAGTTTTAATCGCCTGGATATCTGTTTGACTGTTTTGTGGATTTCTTTCCTGTGTTGGGTGTTCATGGTTTTCATCATTTTCTTTTTCTTTTTCTTTTTTTTTTTTTTTTTTTTTTTTTGTCTTTTTCGTTTTTACTGGTACCTGGGGTCGAACTCACGACTGTCTGCTTGCAAGGCAGGCGCTTATGCCACTGAGCTAAATCCCCAGCCCCAGTTTTCATCATTTTCATAACCTCCTGTGTTATTTTTTCTGTGTTTGCCCTAGAGTCATTAAGCATGTCTTTCATTATGATCACCATCTCTGTATTTATTTGAAAAATTATTTTTGATTTGATTTTTTCTAGTGCCTCATTCATCTGCTGTGTTACTTCTACTTTTACCAATTCGGAGAGCCCAGCTGTGTGGCTTTCAGACCCTTCTACCCCATTGCCCCCAGGTTTGCCTTTGGTGAGCTGGAAGTTTGGGGTCACATCTTATTTAATTATCTTTTTGGGGCTGGGGATTTAGCTCAGCGGCATAAGCGCCTGCTTGGCAAGTGCAAGGTGGTGAGTTCAATCCCCAATACCAAAAAAAAAAAAAGCCCTCAATATGGCATTTTTATCCTTAGGGAAGACAATTTAAAAAGAGGGGAATAGTAGAAGAAAGGAAGAGTCTAAGGAAAGCTGGAGGACAAAGGCAAAGGAAGATCATGCAAACTTTGGGAAACTGGTAAAGACAAGAGGGGAAGAAAAAATGGAGAAATAAAAATGAAAACACAACAACAACAAAAACTAGCACCCTGTTGGCATATAAAAAGAACAAACAGGAAAAAAAGACAGATGGGAAAATAAGAAAAAGAAATTTTCCATTTCCAAGTGTGTCTTGCTGTCACTGATAGTATGCACAGACAGAGTCCAGATCTTACTCCATTAATCCCTGCAAGTCAGCCAAAGCTTTATGGCAGGGCAGTGGATGATCCAGCCTGTATTCCCAGGAGCATTACTTGAGAGGCTGAGGCAAGAGGATTGCCATGAATTAGAGGCCAGCCTGGACCAAATAGCAAAACTCTGTCTCAAAAACAAAAACAAAAAAAACAAAAAACAAAAAACACAGGACTTCCAGGAAGATAGTGGAGTGGTAAGCAGCAGAGAAAGAGCCTCTCTGAGATTTGGTGTCCAGACACTGCAAAAGAGGAACATAAAGAAGAACGAGGAGGAGGGACATCGATCCCTGTGACACAGGAAGGATCTGAGGCAAAACTTGAAGCTTCCCTGAAGTTCAGGCTGGGTTTTGGCCGTGAGGCTGGAACCAGATTTTTTCAGCCTATAGTAGTCCACATAACTCCTGCTGGCTTGAACTAGGCTTCCTGCCAGCTGGACTCAGCTCCCTGACCTCCTGCCAACTAGAATTTGGCAGCCTGACCCCATCACTTGGAAGCCACTAGACTGAGCCAGCCCCACAGCTGTTCTGAGTTTTGAGCTCAGTTAACCCCTTTCCAAGATGGCTACAGGCCAATCATCATCCTTCTCTTGAGAGACATCTGAACCAGATAACCCACCAGTCAATGTACTGAGGTAGCCAGTGGTCACCATGGGTGTGTAGGCTCAAGCTGCCCCTCCCACACAGTGAGTAAAAGCTCAAGGAAAAAGCAGTGCATGCCACCTCCTTTGTTGAAGTTTCTCTCTTATCTCTTCCCTCTCCCAGTGGGCTTCAAGTTTTGCCTCAGATCCTTCCTGTGTCACAGGGATCCATGTCCCTCCTCCTCGTTCTTCTTTATGTTCCTCTTTTGCAGTGTCTGGACACCAAATCTCAAAGAGGCTCTTTCTCTGCTGCTTACCACTCCACTATCTTCCTGGAAGTCCTGTGTTTTTTGTTTTTTGTTTTTTTTGTTTTTGTTTTTGAGACAGAGTTTTGCTATTTGGTCCAGGCTGGCCTCTAATTCATGGCAATCCTCTTGCCTCAGCCTCTCAAGTAATGCTCCTGGGAATACAGGCATGCACCACCATGCCCAGCTATGACATTACTAATTTTGATAAGGCAAAAAACTTTTATCTTGTTGTTTAAATACACAATTTTTGTTCATCACTGGTGCAGTAGACATTTTTTACATATAGATCAACACTTGCTGGTATGTTTGCACAGCAATATATTTGCAGGACAGTTGGTCAAAGTTCAGAAGATGGGGCTGAATTAATCTTTCTTTCTTTCTTTCTTTCTTTCTTTCTTTCTTTCTTTCTTCCTGCAGTACCAGAGGTTAAAGCCAGAGGCACTTTACTACTGAGCTAGATCCCCAGTCTTTTAAAAATATTTTATTGATTTTTTTTTTTGCACCGCAGATCAAACTCATGACCTCACACTTGCCAGGCAGGCACTTATGCCACTGAGCTAAATCCCTAGCCTATTGATTTTTTTTTAAGACAGGGTCTCACTGTGTAATTCAGGCTGGCCTTGAACTCATGGCAATCCTCCTGTCTCAACCTCCTAAGTAGTGAGATTACAGATGTGCACCACCATGTCCAGCTCTTTTTTATTTCTTTAAGTCAAGATCTTGCTGAATTTCCAAGGCATCCTTTCAACTTGTGATCCTTCTCTTGCCTCAGCCTCCTAAGTATCTAGAATTACAGGCATGTACCACTCTACCATTTGGGATTCAATTTTCTTATGTGTCTAGTATTGAAATTTTGTCATAGCATTTACACAGTTTCTTCTTGTCCATTCATTCGATTTGGTTGTTTGGTTGTTCTTCTTGCCCTCCCTCTGTGGAGTGTCAGTGCTTTGAAGGCCAGGGTATGCTCACTGTTAGATTCCCAGGGTTCAGAGCTTGATCTAAAACTATAGCCACTCAGCTGATGGTTTAGTCCATTCAGAAGCTATTATGCTTGGAACAGTGGTAGAGAACTGTAGGCCAGAGCACAGATGATCTGGGGTCGAGCTTGTGCTGGCTGGCTTGCCTTGCATGCACAATACCTAGGTTCCATTCCCATTGCTGTAGGCAAAACAAACAAACAACAACACCAAAAGCTCTTCAAAGCCAGTGGGCCCTCAGCCTTGGTATTTTAAGTATTCTCCTTCTCTCTGGAACAGAAACCAAGACATGGAGCACACCAGAAGTGACCAGCCCTCCACCATCTCCGAGAACATTCCACACATCAGCAGCAGCCATTGGAAACCAGCTCTACGTCTTTGGGGGTGGAGAGAGAGGTGCTCAGCCTGTGCAGGATGAGAAGCTGCATGTGTTTGATGCAGGTATGGACTGGCAGGCACCTTGGGATGGTACTTAGCTGCTGAGGGTCATCATGATCTGCAGCTTACCTGATGTAGGAAGTAAAGATTAGAAAATGAAACAGTGGGAAAAAAAAAAAAAAAAGAAAGAAAGAAAGAAACAGTGACTGGTGGTACGTAACTGTGGTCCCAGCACTCTGGAGGCTGAGGCAGGAGGATCTGTGACTTTGAGGCCAGCCTGTGCTACATAGTGAGTTCAAGGTCAGCTTGAACTACATAGTGAGATACTGTCTCTAAAAATAAATGAATAAAAGAAAGACTGACCATAGCTGCGTGTCTCAGTTCTAGACTTCTTTGATATATTCCTTAACTGATTTATCTTTTCTATAGGAACATTTTGCATTTAAAAAGATATAACTGAACCATTTTGAAAAATTAAGTAGGGCCAGGAAAATAGCTCAGCACCTGCCTGGCAAGAAAGAGGCCCTGAGTTCAGTTCCTGCTACCAAAAACAAAAACCAAAAAAACCCAGCCTGAACTGTATAGTGAAACCCTATCTGAAAAGAAGTAAAATAAAAATTAAAAAATGTTTGGGTTTTTTGGGGGGAAGGAATTTTTGATTGATTAATTGAATGAAAGTAAGATGTCTTGTCAGGTGTGGTCATGCTCACCTGTAACTCCACCACTCAGCAGGCTGAGGCTGGAGGAGCACCTCAAATTCAAGGCCAGCCTGGGCTACATAGTAAGTTCAAGGTCAGCCTGAAATACATAGCAAGAGCCTGTCTCCAGAAAAAAGAGAAAGAGCCCAGGATACAGCTCAGTGGCACAGCGCCTGCCTGACAAGCACGGGGCCCTAGCTTGATTCCGAGTACCAAAAAAATAAAATAAAAATCTCTTGCCAAGTTTTTGTTCAAGAAGCATTTAGTTAACACTTTTTCCCTCCTAGAGGACATTTATGAATAACATTTCACAAATAATATGTGACAAAAACAATTATAATGTGTGCTACATTAAGGTGATATTTGATAAAATGGAATACAGTAAGTGAAATTTCCAACTTCCAAAGTAAATTTGGAAGAATTAAAATACATGATAGTATGACTTTGCTTGTCCAAAAAAGAATGAGCTTTAAAAATTTTAAGTAGCATGGCCTTTGGGTGAATGCAACCATGTAGAAGAAAATATGTGTGCAGGTACATATGCAAATTATAACTAATACTATACTGTCACCCAAAATTATTTACTATTAACCTCTTAGGCATTTCCTTTTTTTAATAGCAGAGATAATTTGATATGGAATATTTTAATTTTATTTATTTATTTATTTATTTTGAGGTAGTTTAGGCTCCCTTTGAATGCAGGACGGAGCCCAGCTGGCCTACAATTTGGATGACCCTCTTACTTTCCCCTCCAGAGTGCTACAGGTCACCTGGAAATATTTGTATCTTTTGCTATCACCTGGCAATATTTGTATCTTGTAAATTTTCCTTAAACATTTTCCCCATGCATTCTAAAGTCTTTACCAACATGCTTTAAGAGCAACATAATATTAAGTCCTTACCAACACTTTTAAGTGCAACATTGTATTGCACCATGGCTCTACCAAGTAACTCAAGCATTCACTTGTTGATACTTCTATGTCTTCTCTATTTCCATCATATGAGGAATATATATGCATAAAATCCTTTTGAGATTATTCTAAATTGTATTCCTTAAAACACTGGGTGCTTCTTTAACAACCAGAAAGCATACCGTAAGTGGTGATTCAAAGATAAATTGTTGAGTGCTGGGGTTTAGCTCAGCAGCATAAGAGTCTGCCTGGCAAATGTAAGGTCATGAGTTTAATCCAGATTACCCGCACTAAAAAAAAAAAAAAAGATAAATTGTTGGGCAAACGTTTGTGTCACATAGTTTTTACAGTATTCCTTTTAGGCTTTTTTGATAGATTAAAAGGATTAATCAATTTTCAAATTGATTAGAAGATACAAAGAGTACCTGCAGTAAAGCACATCTGTTATCTTGTTAACAGATAATAATCATATTTCTAACTATTATATTGAGTAGTTTTTCTGGCTCCAGGATTTGCATGTATTATCTCATTTAATCCATACCTGAACCCTATTGGCTATTGTCAGTGTCCCCATTTTATAACTATAGAAATTGAAGCTTAAAAAGTAACTACTAGGGTTGAGTATTTAGCTCAGTGGCATAAGCACCTGCCTGGCAAATGCTAGGTTGTGATTTCAATCCCCAGTACCAAAAAAAAAAAAAAAAAAGAGGTAACTACCAAAAGACTAGATAGTTATTGAGTGACTGGTTAACCTGGTTTTCACTCCAAGTGCCATTGTGTAACTGTTCTATCCTACCATATCAGGAGGTCCTGATAACTTATATTTAAAGCAGTCTGTGTTTTTCTCCTTTTTTCATCAAATTAATTAAGGAGATCACCGTGAAAGAAAAAGACTGTGGGCTAGACAGGTCATAGAACCCAAGAAAACAAATTCTGTAACAGAAAAGAGCAGACATAGCTGGGCATGGTGGTGCACACCTGTAATCCCACTTCTCTAGGAGGCTTAAAGCAAGAGGATCTCAAGTTCAAACCAAGACTGGGCAATTTAGAGACTTAGGAAGACCATGTCTTAAAATAAGAAAGGACTGGGGATGTAATTCAGAACAAACATCCTGGGTACTGGGTACTGAATTCCCAGTACTGAAGAAAAAAGCAGTCTTGTGTGTGTGTGTGTGTGTGTGTGTGTGTGTGTGTTTGAGACAGGGTCTCACTATGCAGTTCAGGCTGGCTTTGAAGTCATTCTGTAGCCCAGGCTGGCCTCGAACTCAAAAAGATCTTCCTGCCTCAGCCTCCCAAGTGCTGGAATCACAGGCATGTGCCACCACCTCCAGCCCATTTGTCTTAATTTTAGAGCAGTTCCAGGTTGAAGCTTAGAGAAGAGATTTTTTTTAAATTCAAAGCAAGGAATACCACTCTAATGCCCAAGAGAAGGGGTGGACATGAGCTTTCCAGGTCACATGTGTGGTGCATATTTGTATCAACACTTGCAAGGCTGAGGCAGGAAGATGGCAAATTCACTCCCAGCCTTGGTAGTTTGGGGATTCAGGGAGACCTTGCCTCAGAAATAAATAAAAAGGGCTGGGGAGGTAGCTCAATGTGAATTTCCTAGTTTAATGCTACTGCTGTGAGAGAGCTGGGAGGGAGGGACTGCAAAGTCTTCTCCTGCCGGCCAGGGATGCAGAGGCGTGGGCTGTTACTCTCACTCTTGCTTTCTAGCTCTGCCAGTTGATTCCAGTGACTTTACTTTTCTAGACACGCGGACCTGGTCACAACCTGAGACACTTGGAAATCCTCCGTCTCCCCGGCATGGTCATGCGATGGTGGCAACAGGGACGAAGCTCTTTATCCATGGAGGCCTGGCAGGGGACAAATTCTTTGATGATCTCCACTGCATTGATATAAGTAAGTGGTGAAGGGCTTTGGGATTCCTTAAAACGTTTGAAGAATATTCTTTGAAAGAATATAGCTTTGCTCTGCTATTCAGCTTGGGTAACTTGACCAGCTGACAGAATGTCCATTAGATTCTGTCAAATGACCTGAATAATATTTAGTAATCATAACAATAAAAGCAGTTATTCCTGAGAGCTGAGTATGTGCTCAGCTTTTTATCACCTCTAACCCTTCCAATAAGCCACTGTCCTGTGGGTTTGCCAACTGGGTTTCCTTGAGCTCTTGACTACTATCTGCATGGGATCCAGGTAACGTTTCAGCTGGGTCTGGCGGTAAACGGTAAGAATTGTGTGCTTCTCAGAATAAACCATTGAAAGCTCTTGGAGGAGAAAGTTGGAACATGGGAAGTGTTCCAAGTGTCTGCAGAGCTGGTGCATTCCAGAGCCGGACCACACTCCTGTGAGCCCCATCCTTGCAGGGCCATCACCCCTTCTGCACACTGATGTGCACCTAGCACTTAGCACAGTGTGTAGTACAGAGTGGGTGAGGAAGTCATGGTAAAACAAACTTGCTCATGGACAGAAGGCACAGCAGTTCTGTGCAGGGTAGTTGACTACTTTCCAGGGCACTGGGTGCTATGGAGCCAGAGAACTTTGGCTGGGATTCCTGCATTGGCTAGAGTCTCAACAAGCAGGGTGATTCTCCTTACCTCCTCTGCAGTGCTGACCCTGGCCTCATACTGACAGATAAAAACCATTTTTATAGAAGCATTCCTTACAGGTGGGCAAATGGGGTTTTCAACATTTATTTATTTATTTATTTATTTATTTATTTATTTAGTAGTACCAGGGATTGAACTCACAAACTAGCGCTTTCAAGGCAGGCACTTATACCCCTGAGTTAAATCCCCGGCCCCAATTTATTTTAATTTTATTCATTCATTTATTATTGTTGAACCCAGGAAGTACCAAGCTGCAGCCTCACTCTGTTTGTTTGCTTGTTTGTTTAGATATGGTTTCACTAAGTTGCCCAAACCAGGCTCAAACTTGTGATCCTCCTGCCTCAACCTCTCAGATAGCTGGGATTGCAGGTTTGTACACTGCACTTGGACATAGTCATCTTTAAAAGGAGCTGGATACAGTCGTGGATGCCTGTAACTCCAACACGGAAGGAGGCAGAGACAGAAGGATCCCAATTTTGAGTCTTTCCTTAACAAGTTGAAACCCTCTCTCAAAAATAGAGAGCTGGGCTAAGGGTGCATGCCTGTAATCTCAGCACTCAGGAGGTTGAGGCAGTAGGATTATTGCAAGTTCAAGACCAGCCTGGACTACAAAATGAGCTCAAGGCCAGCCTGAACTGCATAGTGAGACCCTGTCCCCAAAAAAGACACACACACACACACACACACACACATTTATATATGTGTGTGTGTGTGTATGTGTATAAATGGCTAAGGATGTTCATTGGTAGGACACCCCATCTCCACTATCATTCATTCACAGGTAGGTAGGTAGACAGCTAGGTAGCTAAATCAATAGATACCAGGCAAGCGAGGGAGCCAGGTATAATCCCAGCAGTCTAGGAAGCTGAGGCAGAAGTATCTCAAGTTCAAGCCCAACCTGTAAAATTTAGCAATTAAGCAAGAACCTGTCTCAAAATTTAAAAAAATTACTGGATGTGTTCGCACACACCTTTAGTCCCCAGGACTTGGGAGTTTGGGGCCAACCTGGGTTACATAGTTCAAGGTCAGCCTGAACTACATAGGGACACTATCTCAAAAAAAAAAAAAAAAAAATAGGCAGGCATCATAACACACATCTGTCATCCCAGCATTCAGGAGACTGAGGCAGGACTGCTATGAAGTTGAGGCCAACCTAAACTGTATAGTGAGGTCTTATCTCAAAAAATAAAGCACAAAAAAATGGAAAACATAGATAAAATTAAAATTAAAAAAAAAGCTGGGCATGTAGCTAGGTGTGAAGGCCCTAAGTCCAATCCATCCCCATTATAGAACTACCAAAATAAATATATAAATGAATAACTATAAAAAGAAAATTCTTCAGGGCCGAGGAACTATGTCATGGATCTTTTTCCCACTTATTCACATAGTTCTCTAGTGCTAATATCCACTATTCTCTAGCCTTAATATCTGCCTCAATTAAACACTTGTTTGAAAAGATACAAATATCCATGCAACATGGGCAAGGTTGGCTGCTGAAGCAGGAGGTCCAAAGTACTAAGAACCCGGATTTTGGAGCCGGGCCTCAGTATATGTACACTTCCAAACTAAGGGGTCTCAGACAGGTCCTATCCCTTTCTAATCCTGTGTCTCTTATGTCCAAAGGAAGCGGTAGGCAGAAGTAAGTGCAATTCCAGGGCTGTTACGAAAATTAAGTGAACAAGATACTTGAAATATCTAGCCAGCATTCAGAAAGTTGCTTAATAAAAAACTTTTAGGGAGGGGCTGGGGATTTAGCTCAGCAGCATAAGCGCATGCCTTGCAAGCAGGTAGTCGTGTGTTCCATCCCCGGTACCAATAAAAAGGAAAAAGACAAAAAAAAAAAAAAAAAAAAAAACCTTTTAGGATTGGCAGGGTGGGCCTTTTGTAGCCCAGGCTGGCCTCAAACTTGCAGCAGTACTCCTGCCTCAGCCTCTCAAGTGCTGAGATTACATGCATGTGACACCATGCCTGTCAAGAATTTTTAGTTTTTAAAACTCAAAGTTATAGAACTTTACCAAGGCAGTTAATGTTGAACAGTTAAATGACAGTCAGTATAAAAACTATGAACACTTGTATCACATCTCAGTATGCTCCAAATACCATCGACATCAGAATCCTCTTTGCTTCCCTAGACTACTAATCAAAATTTCAAGCTATTTCAGATTTTTTTTTTTTTTTTTGGTGGTACCAGAGATCGAACTCATGACCTTGTGCTTGCCAGACAGGCTCTTATGTCACTGAGCTAATCCCAGGCTCTCAGATATTTTGGGTTTTTTGTTGTTGTTGTTGTTGTTATTTCAGTAGTAGGATGGAACCCAGAGGTCCTCTACCACTGAGCTAAATCTTCCCTTCCGTCCGTTCCTCCCACCCCCCACCCCCTCACCCCCACCCCCACCCCCCTGCTTTTTTTGAGACAAGATTTCCCTATTCAGTTCAGGCTGGCCTTAAACTTACTTTATAACCTCCAGCAATCCTCCTGCCTCAGCCTTTGGGTTTGAATTTGTGATCCTCCTACCTTATCGTCCCAAGTATCTGGGAAGACAGGTATGTACCACGTGACCAAAACCTTGCTCTGTGACCTCTGACCTCCTATTGAGTGACTCTCAGGGCCTGATTTGCAAACTGTAGCAAGTTTGAAAGCACACTTTAGCACATTATGCCAAATCTTTTTCTCAATAGGAGACATGAGGTGGCAGCAGCTCAGTCCCACAGGTGCTACTCCAGCAGGCTGCGCTGCTCATTCAGCAGTGGCAGTGGGAAAACACGTGTACATCTTCGGGGGGATGACTCCCACTGGGGCGCTGGACACCATGTACCGTTACCACATAGGTGAGTGAGCCCCTCTCCTGTCTTTAGATGTATTCTTGGTCTAAATCCAAAAGAATGAAAGCTGAGTCTTAGGGAATGAGCCATTAAAGCAGTAACGCTGGCAGTGGGTTTTCTGCTCCTTTTATTTCCCATTTGTTGTGCTCAGCTGATTTAGTAAATCACAAAGCATTTCTGGAAATTTCTCAACACAAGCCTTTTTGTTTCTGTTGTTTTGTTTCTAACAGAAAAACAGCATTGGACCTTACTTAAATTTGATACTTTTCTACCCCCTGGACGATTAGACCACTCCATGTGTATCATTCCATGGCCAGTGACTTCTACTGCTGAGATAGACTCACAGTCTGTCACACTGAACTGTGAGGCCGAGGAAGGAGATTCCACTGGTGAAGTGACCCAGAGGAGTGACTTACGTGGGGAGTGTCTGACTGACACACTGCTATGTTTTGTGTTTGGTGGGATGAATACAGAAGGGGAGATCTACGACGACTGTATCGTAACTGTAGTTGACTAATAAAAGCCACACACTTATTTTCATAAAAGTGAAACCTTAGCTGCCTTATCTCCAAAACTTTTGTACAATAAATGTATCTGCCTTGCTTTCACCTACTTTGTAAGAAATAAACTGGGTAACCCAGTGCAGAATCTTCTGTTGCACAAAAGATTGTATCAGCAGTGAAAGCTGGGTAAACATAACAAAGTTGGGAGCCTGGGGCAGGAGTTCAGGCCCAACCTGGGGAACTTATGACCATCTGAAAATAAACAGGCTGATGATATAGTTCAGTGTGATGGCTCCAGTCTCAATCCCTAGTACTGAAGGTGTGTGCTGGGGGCGTGGGAACGCAAGCTGTTGACATGAGTGAATACTTACCGGTGAAGTCCATCTAATCCTTAAGTTCACTGTACACAGTAATGGTAGCTTTCGACAACAGGGTATGCAGTGAGAAACTTGTTCTGCCTACCCCACTGCCCCCCAAGGACACAAAGCACTGTCTTAACATCTCATGGAGAGGGGCTGGGGATTTAGCTCAGTGGCGTAAGCACCTGCCTTGCAAGCAGGTGGTCCCGAGTTCGATCCCTAGTACCAATAAAAAGTTAAAAAAAAAAAAAAGAGCAAACATCTCATGGAGTTTGGTCTATAGACCTGTATTGCATACTAGGTCTACCAAAACACAAAATTTTGGTATTAGGAATTGAATCCAGAGCCTTTACACTCAGTTACATTTATACTCCCCACCCACCCATTTTCAAACAGGGTTCCACTAAGTTGCTAAATTACCCAGGCTGGACTTTGTTTAGGTACTGGGAATCAAACTCACCTTTTGTTTGCCGGGCAGGCATTTAGACCAATGAGCCAAATCCTGGCCCCTGGATTTTTAACTTTAGATATTGCCTCACCCTCCCAGAGTGCTAGGATTATAATATGTATGTACCATCACACCTGGCTCCATTAATTCTGAAAAGAGAATCCATTCAATTACACAGCCAGCTATCGAAAGCATCATTCATTGGTTATAAAGTCAACAATTTTAGCAAGGAGACCTAGAAGATTTCAATTATGTTCAAGAAAAACTCCACTCCGGGGTACTGTGAAATAGCCCTTACCAGTTAAGGACGCAGTAAGCCCCCCATGCCCCTCTTTGGAGCAGAAAAAGTTCCCCCTGCATCCTATACACACCCCCTTACAGCCTTCAGCCTTTCATCTTGGCTCTCATTCTAAGATGTATGATTGATGGATCTAATTAGAAGCGTTTCACAAAATTAGACCAGTGTAAATAACAAACATTTATTGGTGTCATTTATGGTAGAAAAAAAAGTTCCTACACCAGATGTACATGACCCAATTGTTAAATAGAACATTTCTGAGGTGAACACACACCCTTGACGCGACTTTTTTTACCCAGATTTTTTTAGAACAGCCAATTTGTCCTCTCCCCCCACCCCAAGACATGAGCAACTGCTAATGAAAAGCAGTAAACAGCCACTTGGGCTATAGCATTTTCAACTCCACTCCAAGGTGAAGATTCCAATTATATTCGACACTTAAGTTCTCTCAATTTTCTCCTAACGAAAGTTCCTGAGTCCAGTATTTACAATATTACAGCGCTAGCAGATCAGTGTCTACAACTCGTCTTTTTCTGCTGTATCCTCTTCACCAGTCGGAGGAGGGCCTGCACTTCCATAGAGTTTGCTGATGATTGGCTGAACGATTTCTTCTAATTCCTTCTTCTTTGCTTTGAAGTCTTCAATGTCAGCATCTTGGTGGCTTTCCAGCCATTCAATCTTGTCCTCTACAGCTTTTTCCATGGTTTCCTTGTCTTCCGAGGAAAGTTTGCCTCCCAGCTTTTCTTTATCTCCAATCTGGTTCTTTAGAGAGTAGGCGTAGCTTTCCAGCTCATTCCGGGTGTCTATGCGCTCCTTGAGCTTTTTGTCTTCCTCAGCAAACTTCTCAGCATCATTGACCATCCTTTCGATCTCTTCAGGTGTTAGGCGATTTTGGTCATTGGTGATTGTGATCTTATTTTTGTTCCCTGTACCCTTGTCTTCAGCTGTCACCCGAAGAATGCCATTCACATCTATCTCAAAGGTGACTTCAATCTGGGGGACCCCACGGGGAGCAGGAGGAATTCCAGTCAGGTCAAATGTACCCAGGAGGTGATTGTCTTTCGTCAGAGGTCGCTCACCTACAAGTTAAAACAGAAAACTTTTGTTAGTGACAAGTGCTGGACTTCTGGATCCCATTTCTGTTAGTCTCTACAGTGGGCCAGGACACTTAACCAAGCTAAAGTGACTCAGTACTGGCCTGCAAGGTTCTCTTAACACAGTGGTGGTGAACTATGGCACATGTGCCCAGCAGGCTATACCACTGAAACTCTAAGGTTCGCCATCACTGTCTTAACTGAATTTTATCCACTTCAATGCACTGTCAACCCTTTTCTTGTGTTCTAGGAAGCAGCTCAAGAACAAGTGCTAAGGGCTGGGGATTTAGCTCAGTGGCATAAGCGCCTGCCTTGCAAGCAGGCAGTCGTGAGTTCGATCCCCGGTACCGATAAAAAGCAAAAAAACCAAAAAAAAAAAAAAAAAAAAAGAACAAGTGCTAAGTACCCTAGTTAAATATGGACTCTATGCAAGTCAACACTAGTCCCATGAAGGATTTTTTCCACCTGAAAAAGAGCAGATACTTCTTTCCCTAACCCTTTTAATAGTAGTATACATTAAATGAGAAGTCATGTTCTTTTAAGACCAATGTAATTACCTTCATAGACTTTGATTGTAACAGTTGGTTGATTATCAGAAGCTGTGGAAAAGATCTGAGACTTCTTGGTAGGGACTACAGTGTTTCTTGGAATCAGTTTGGTCATGACACCTCCCACAGTTTCAATGCCAAGTGTAAGGGGACATACATCAAGCAGTACCAGGTCTCCTGCAAAAGTAGATAAACTGAGGTAAGTTTCAACAAAGTCATAAGATCACTACGAAGTTCCCCATGAACTAAGTTTATCTTGTTTTGCCATTTACTAAAGTTCTGACCATAAACATGAGAACCGAACTAAACAGCCCCTAAGACTTTCAAGACTGCCCTGACGGTCCTGTCTTCCATGCTCCCTTTCTAGCTTTTTGTTCTATTGTTTTCTAAAGCAAAAACTTACTACTGCCTTTCTAGTGAGCCACTTTTTTCAAACTCTTGGCCTTATGTTTGGCAGTATCTCACGTGAGATACTGTGACAAGCTAGGTGTTGTGTGGCAAGGTTTCACTATAACCCCAGCACTTGGGAGGCTGAGGCAGGAGGATTTCTGTGAGTTCAAGGCCAGCCTAGGCTATATAGTTAGTTTAGATCAACCTGAATCATATAGCGAGACTGTCTCAAAAAACAACAAAAACCCAAAAACAAAAAAATGCCGTGACCATGGCCTACCTGTATCTTGGTCACCAGAGAGTACACCTGCCTGGACAGCAGCACCATAGGCTACAGCCTCATCTGGGTTTATGCCTCGGGATGGCTCCTTGCCATTGAAGAACTCTTTAACCAGTTGCTGGATCTTGGGAATTCGAGTGGAGCCACCAACAAGAACAATCTCATCAATATCAGACTTCTTCAAGTCAGAGTCTTCCAACACTTTCTGGACAGGTTTCATGGTAGAGCGGAACAGGTCCTAGAATAAAGACATATGGTCACTGTGATGATAACTGTTACCTTGGTACTGTCTGGGTCTGTATGTACACTGTCTTAAATTCAGTGAATTTAACTACATTTCATTAGGACAGAAAAAGAAAAAAAAAAAAAAAATCAAGGAACATACCATGTTTAGTTCTTCAAATTTGGCCCGAGTCAGAGTCTCAGAAAAGTCTTCTCCTTCATAGAAAGATTCAATTTCAATTCTTGCCTGATGCTGAGAAGATAGGGCCCTCTTGGCCTTTTCTACCTCACGTCGGAGTTTCTGCACAGCTCTGTTGTCCTTCCTCACATCTTTGCCAGTCTTCTTTTTGTACAGCTTGATGAAGTGTTCCATGACACGCTGGTCAAAGTCCTCTCCACCCAGGTGAGTATCTCCATTAGTGGCCACGACTTCGAAGACACCATTGTCGATGGTGAGAAGAGATACATCGAAGGTTCCACCACCCAGGTCAAACACCAGGATGTTCTTCTCCCCCTCTCTCTTATCCAGGCCATAAGCAATGGCAGCTGCTGTCCTGTTAGAATGAAAAGGGACATCTCAGTCAAATCCACAATTCCCCTACTGGGTAAATATGCTGTGTATCCTTGAATTTCATACTTACGGCTCATTGATGATTCTCATAACATTCAGTCCAGCAATTGTTCCAGCATCTTTGGTTGCTTGCCTTTGAGCATCATTAAAGTAGGCAGGTACAGTAACGACTGCATGAGTAACCTAAGAAGATAAAAGATGGTAATTTTTGTATTGTCACAGGCTTTAACTGCCATTTAAATTACAATCAAACCACCACTTTAGTATCTAAGCTAGTCTACCAGGAGAGTATCACATATACAATTTCATGAGACTGACGGGCCACCTCTGGCATTAAGAAAGCAATTGGTTATACACAATTTCATTGCCAAGAATTTCAAGCAGTAAGTGTTGAACACAGGAAAATTGTCTGTTTTGTTTGACCTACATAAAAGCACCAATTAGTTAAACCTGATAAGCATGGATGTTGTTCTGATCCAATTTCTCAAACTATAAAAATTTCAATGACAGCACATAAGTCAAATAAGAACGGTAGCTAGAAAAAAAAGGACGGTAGCTAGTAATCTTTAACAATGTTTAGAAATATTTACCTTCTTTCCCAAATAAGCCTCAGCAGTTTCCTTCATTTTAGTGAGAACCATGGCAGAAATTTCTTCTGGAGCAAAAGTCTTGGTTTGCCCACCTCCAATATCAACCTGAATGTATGGTTTAGTTTTCTTTTCAACCACCTATTTTAAAGAATAACTTACTGTTAAGAATTTTCAGGCACTTAAGCACGGACATTTCAAACTTTTAAAGCCTCACCACTTCTTCCCCCATGGTCTGGTTTATTTTGGTCTCTGGGGGCTGGACATTCACTAACATTACTAGACAGTAAAAAGGTACCTTCTGAAGTCCGATTTCTGCAATTTTAATCATCTTTTTAATATTGTGCTACAGTGGACAGAATATCTGTATACCAACTATTTTTTAGTAACATATTAAAATTCTCAATAAAAACCTTGTTACATCGCGTGTACTATATATCCTTTTTTTAGGCGTGTATGTTTTTCAGCGACTTAATCCTAAAATCCCCACCACTACACCCATCCTCTATATTCGGAGGAGAAAAACGGGTCAAACCTTGAAAGGCAAGAACTTGATGTCTTGCTGAACGGAGGGGTCGTTCCAAGTGCGTCCGATGAGCCGCTTGGCGTCGAAAACAGTGTTCTCGGGGTTGGAGGTGAGTTGGTTCTTGGCCGCATCGCCGATCAGCCGCTCCCCTTCGGGGGTGAAGGCCACATACGATGGCGTGATGCGGTTGCCCTGATCGTTGGCGATGATCTCCACGCGGCCGTTCTTGAACACCCCGACGCTGGCGGAAAAACCCCACAGAAGAGATCAGAACGGCTCTTCATGCCGGCCCAGAAGGCCACGCCCCGTCCCCCTTTCACAAAATCCACTCACCAGGAGTAGGTGGTCCCCAGGTCGATGCCGACCACCGTGCCTACGTCCTCCTTCTTGTCCTCCTCCTCGGCCCGCGCCGCGCCGAGCAGCAGAAGGACCGCAGCCACCAGACACAGCTTCATCTCGGCGGCGCCGTCTGCCAGGCGGTCAGCAGGAGTCGCAAACAATCCAGCAACAGGCTGCAGAACTGGTGCGCAGAGAGGTCACTGATCTGAAAACGAGAGGACGGGAGTCAGGAGAGGCTAAATGGCGAAAAGGCTAAGGTCAGGCCCAAGAAAGCAGGCCGCAGGGGGCTTACCGCTCACACTGGTGCACAACAGACTGAAGATTCCTGTGTTGTCTCCACCGGTGATGAGCGCGCTGTCGCCGACTCGGCTTATATACCTCCCTCCAGCCCCGTCGTGGAGCCCGCGGATTGGCGAAGATGCTTCTCGTTGGAGGCCGCTAATTGGCCCAGACCACCAACCTGGCTGCAGCCGATTCGAAGCGGCCTCCTCCGCAATAAACGTCACAGCTACGCCTTCCAGGAGAAGTTATTGGCTCCTGGTTTTTTCCGGACAACCACCAATGAGAAGCAACATCCGCTTCGTCTGCTGTCCCCATTGGTTTAACAGCTGCCAATTGCTCGTATGAACTCTCACCCTCAGGCGGTTTCCGCCAGTAACCGCTAGGGTCCTGCCCTCTAGTCTGGCCCTCGGATACCGAGTTCGGGCTGGCCGGTTGGTCCCCTTGGGACCGTGGGACTGAAGTCTTTCTCCTTTACTCATCGCCCTCCGCTCCTCTGTACCTCATCCCAAAGCAGGAAGCGAAATTTTCTCTTGTTGGATCCTATCCCATCCCAAGGAGCTCGGCCTCATCGTAGATGCTGTGATCACTTTAGAACACATTTCTCGGCCCTTGGTGGTCACTACCGGTATTTGAGAGTGCGAGTTTCAAGGGCTTTTGTTATTCACCAGCAGCAACTCTTGAGCTGAGGCCGGCTCTCCAGCTCTGTCTGGCCGCAAGTCGTGGCTCCTCTCAGCCAGTCCGGTCTTCTTTGCACAGTGTCTGCTTTATTTGTCCTTTTCGTTTCTTTTCAAATTGACCTGCCCCTCGGTATGTCCCAGGGCCAAATATTGCCTCCTCGCCTTTAGTCTCCCACTCTACTGTGGCAACTCACTCTTGAAAATTTATTTGTCACTACTCCAACCCTGGGTTAGAACATTTTTTTCTAACTTCCCACCATTTCCCTTTGTGCCTCGGGTTATTTGCAAATCCTTCCTCGTCCATTCGTGATGCCTTTCTATATTATTCCTGGAAAGGGCTGATGTACTAAAAGCACTGGACTGTAATGCTTTGTTCTTGTATATAATACTGTAATGTTTTGTTCTTGTATAATACCCTATTACAGATACAATAATAGAAGCTACAATTTAAGTTTACTGTGTGCCACACTATTCTTCATGTGTCATTTGCTCCTCAGTTTGGTTCTTTGTAGCTATTTCCCATTTTCCAGATGAGAATATTGAGACCAAAGATGATTTAACTAGATCAGTCACAGATCTGGTCTGGTTCGTGATGGTGTTAAGTTTGATATCCAGGTTGCCAATGCTTTGAACATTTTTTTTCCTAAAAACTCATTCAATAAGTATTTTTGAAAGACCTACTTTGGTCTTTGGTCAGAGGCCAAAGCCCTGATACAAAGTATTTCGAGACGCTTGCATCAGATGCTCAGGACATTATCATACTCAGGAACTGGTCCCTTTAGTATTCCTGTTAAAGTTATTGTTGAGATTCATAGGTATGATGATCGGGTATACCTGATTCACTGAGATGAGGAAAACCTATGAGTCAGGACTCGAAAATTTTCCTTTCTGGTCCTCAAAGTTGTACTAGTGATTCAGAGTTGACTGCACTCTTACTCTAGAGATTGCATCATTTATCTCTTCTAACAGGGCTTGTAATGCTGCAGCAACACTGACCCTTCTTTGGGTTGCATCAGTCTGGTATCAAGATGGCAATCATCATTTGACTGTTATGTTTTTGTGTCATTTCAAGCAAACTTTCTGCATGTACTACAGTCCATTTCCATTAAATAAAATTCTGTTTCACCCTTAACCTTGATTGATGACATCCACTTTTGTAAGTTTCCTTTCTCTAAGATGAAGAAATGTGATATATAGCTATCTCGCAAAGAATTTAGTATATAAGTGGTTGTAATATTTTAAAATTCAAGTGTTTATATATATTACAATATAAATTATGATCCAAAGCACAATCAATTATGAATTTAATAGGAAATTTAAAAACTAGCTTGCTAAAAAATATCCTAGTTTGCTAGTTATATCAGGTTTATAAGATAGGTATCTGGAAAACAAAAGGTATCTGGCAAATATTTTGATAATGTATGATAGGCAATGTAGACTTTTTGTTTCTCTTTTTGAGACAGGGTCTGTTATGGATTGAGAACCGGTGGTCAACACCAGCTGGATTACATCAGCATGCATTGAGTGAAGATGCTCCACCTGTGGAGGGTTGCCAGGATAACTAAGTGGAGAAGAAGGGAGATGTTGAGAGCTGAAGCGTTAAGGAGGGTTTGTGGGTTCTCCTGCGAGTTGCTCTCTGAGCTGTTAGTTCTGGAGAAGCTTGGGTCCTCGAGCATTGATTCCTGGCTCCGGAGGGGAAGACATGTGCTGCTTGGTCTCTAGGATGAACTTGTCACCCTGCTTCCTGGCACGTACCCAACTGTGCTTGTCGGGGCCTCCATGTCACTGAGAACAGCTATGGTGCCTTTCAGGATAGCCCTGGTCTTTTTTGTGAGTGTGACTTCTCAGCTCCAGTGTAGAACCCTCATCCCACTAGCACAGCTCCTTCATTCTGCTGGCATAGACTTTCTGGTTTCCACCGCTGACCCTTGGGTCTTCCCAGCACGGATCCATAAAAGAGACTGGCATGAGTCCTTCTTGTGGGCTCTGGCCCTCCAGTTGGACTTGTGGGAGGCATTGTCCTGAGGGGTTTTTATTTGGACTCATGTGGGACATTGCCGTGGGGTTTAGGCTCTTGACTAAATAATCTATGTCTTTGGTGTTCTGGATAGATTTCCTGCATTTTCCTGTGTTAACTTTCCTGTGTTAATCCTGTATTAACTTTTATAATATTTTATAATATTATAAAAATATTATAAACTCCATGTCCTAATCTTAATTGTTCTAACTACAACAGGGTCTCAGTACTATGTAGCCCAGGCTGGCCTCAACCTTGTAGTGATCTACCTACTTCAGCCTCCTAGGTGCTATAATTACAGGCGAGCACCACCACACCCAGCAGCAAATGTATACTTTTATCCAGTAATTTATCCAGCTCATTTCACTTGTGTTCCTGTGGGTAAGAAAGTAGATTTCCATTTCCTATCTAATACCTGAAAGCTAAGCAGAAGCAGAACTCAATATTCTTTTTTTTACTGGTACCGGGGATCGTAAACTCACGACTGCCTGCTTTCAAGGCAGGTGCTTATGCTGCTGAGCTAAATCCCCAGTCCCAGAACTCAATATTCTTATCTGGAAAATAGGAAACAGCTATGAAGAATTGAACTGTGAGGAGCGAATGACATATGAAGGGCATAGAGAACAAAGCATGGCACACAGTAAACTTCAATAGTAGCCTCCACCACCACCACCACCATCATCATCATTATTAGGGTTGGATGTCATTTAGCTCATAAGTCTACATTTCTGAAAGAAAATAATAATGGAACAGAATAGAGCAGAAACTCTTCCACATAGTTTGTTGGACAGAACATTCATCTAGAAGATAGGCCACATGACCTCAGAAAAGAAAAAGCCACTCAGAGCTTTGGCCCATCTATCTGTCAGGGATTTTCTTTTTTGTTGTTTAATGTCAGGGATTTCTGTCTTACTGGGTTGTTTCAAGGATGAAATGAGATACCGTATGAGAAAATACTTTGAGGGATGTAGAATAGGGGTAATGCTATAATCAGTCATAGATATACACAGTAATATGGGAAGAAATTTTAGAAGTTCTTCAAATAAGCTACCTCTTTAAAGTCAGCTTTCAATAGTTTTCAAGTGTTCTTTTATTGGAAAATAAACAGTGATTACTTCAATTTTTTTTTTCTTCTGATTACTTCAAATTTTACAAAGAGGGGGCTGGGGGTTTAGCTCAGCGGCATAAGCGCCTGCCTTGCAAGCAGGCAGTCGTGAGTTCGATCCCCGGTACCGATAAAAACGAAAAAGAAAAAAAAATTTCACAAAGAATTTTTTTTAAAAAGTGATATCTCTAACCTATTCTTAGATTGGTCATAGATGTCTTTTTAATTAAAGGACTGAGAATAATTAACTTACACTTGCATCAAACAACTCAAGAGTGAAAGATTTCATCCTAATGTGACCTGGAAGTAATAGTTGAAATAAATCATGTAGTCTGTATTTTTTTTTGTTCTCTCTACTTCCTGTGTCTATCTATCTGTCTGTCTGTATATCTGTCCCTCTCTGTGTCCTTTCCTCCTCTCCTCCCTCTCTTCCTCCCTCCATGTCTTTTCCGGGGACTGAACCTCATTATGCAATTCAGGCTGGTCTTAACTCATTTTGTAGACCAGGCTGGCCTTGAACTCAAGGCAATTCTCCTTCCTCAGCCTCCCATATGCTGGAATTACAAGTGTGTGCCACTGTGCCCAGTTTACATATATTTTTAAGTGCAGTGGGTTATAATCAGTTATACCTTTTTGTTTTTTTGAGACAGGGTTTCACTATGTAGTTTAGGCTGGCTTTAAACTCACTCACTGTGCCTTAAACTGGGTATGGTGGCCCTATACCTGTACTGGGAGACTGAGACAGGAGGAATTGCTAAGACTTCAAAGCCAACCTGGGTTCCATAGTGGATTCAAAACCAATCTGAACTAGATAGCAACACCCAGCCTCAAAAAAACAAGCTGGGTGTGTTGGTGCACACTTGTAATTCCAGCACTCAGGAGGCTGAGGCAGGAGGACTGCTGTGAGTTAGCAGCTAGCCTGGGCTACATAATGACTTCATGGCCAGCCTGGATTGCATAGCCAGACTCAAAAAAAGCGGGGCAGGAAAGGAGCCAGGGATATAACCAGCAGCACAGCTCTTGTCTGGCAAGCATGAGGTTATGAGTTTGATTTCTAGTACCAAAACAAAACAAAACAAAAAAGTACTATGAGGGCCAGGGATTTAGCTCAGTGGCACAAGGATCTGCCTGGCAAGCACAAGGATGTGAGTTTGATCCCTGGTACCACAAACAAAACAAAACAAAACACTATGTACCAGGGTTTGTGTTAAATTCATGGCGAGTCCTGTGAGTGCTAGAGTTATAGCACATGCTTTAAAATGTCCTTATCTTTTTTTGTTGTTGTTTGTTTTTTTCAGTACCAGGGATTGAACTCACGACTGCCTGCTTGCAAAGCAGGCGCTTATGCCGCTGAGCTAAATCTCCAGCTGCCCTTCTTTATCTTTGATTTTCTGTGTGTATGTGTGCTAGGGATTAAACCCTGTCTTTACTTTCTAAAATCTATAGATATTAGAAAATCTTTCCTATATAAACATGGAAAAGTAATAATGCCTTTTCTGTACTCCACATGTATTTTCCTATAGAATGTATTTAGGAGTACACATTGTCAAAGTAAGAGAGGGGAAAGATCATGGGATATAGAAGCAGAAAATCTGTGCTGAGTTCCAATCCAGTTACTTTCTAGTTCTGTGACCTGGAATGAGTCAATCTGAGGTTCTGTTTGATTGTCCGAAAGCCTGATAAAATTCTGTCTCCTCACCAAGCTGTCCTGTTATATTTATAAAAGAATCTATTACCTGTGAATCACTTGTTTCATTCATAAAATAGTAACTCTGAAGTAAAATGAATTGCCAACTCTAAAGAGTTCCCTATATAGAATTTGAAAGGTGCTATTTAGTATGTGTCAAACTTCAAAACATTTAAGCTAGGAAATACATACATGGTATATAATCTAAAGTGTACAAAAATACACAATGTCTCCCTGTCTTCAGCCCATTCCCCTATATTAGTAGAAGTAACTCTTATCCACTTTCTCCTGTAGAGTATGCATGTGTTTGCCTGTATAAAAGCTAATACTGGGGCTGGGGACTTAGCTCAGCGGCATAAGCGCCTGCCTTGCAAGCAGGCAGTCGTGAGTTTGATCCCCAGTACTGATAAAAAGGAAAAAGACAAAAACAAAAAGCAAAACAAAACAAAAACCTAATACTGGTGCCAGGCATTGTGGTGCACTCTTGTAATCCCAGCACTCAGGAAACTGAGGCTGGAGGATCATTGTAAGTTCAAGACCAGCCTGGGCTACAAAGTGAGCACATGGCCAGCCTGAGCTGTATAACGAGACCCTGCCTCAAAAAAAAAAAGAAGGGCTGGGGATTTAGCTCAGCGGCATAAGCACCTGCCTTGCAAGCAGGCGGTTGTGAGTTCGATCCCTGGTACCAGAAAAAAGAAAAAAAAAAAAAACCAATACTGGAGCTGAGCATGGTGGTAGACATCTATAATCTCAGCACTCTGGAGGCTGAGGGTAACATATACTAATAAAAAAATTACTAAGGGTAACATATACTAATAAAAAAATTTGTTTAAAGCTATCGGAGAATGGTATAATCTTGAGGACTGCAAGTTCAAGGCCTACTTGAGGAAACTAATGAGACAATATCTCAGAATTTTTTTTCTTTTTTTTTGGTGCCAGGGATCAAACTCACAACCTCATGCCTAGGCCACTGAGCTAAATCTCTGTCCCTTTTTTTTTTTTTTTTTTTTTTTTTGTCTTTTTCCTTTTTATCAGTACCAGGGATGGAACTCACGACTGCCTGCTTGCAAGGCAGGCGCTTATGCCGCTGAGCTAAATCCCCAGCACCTTTTTTTGTCTTTTTGAGGCAGGGCCTCGCTATGCAGTTCAAGCTGGCCTTGAGCTCACTTTGTAGCCCCAGCTGGCCTTGAACTTGCAAGGATCCTCCCACCTCAGCCTCTGGAGTGCTGGGATTACAGGCGTGAGCCACCACGCCCAACGATAATAATTTCATTTTTATTGGTACCAAGGATTGAACTCACAACTGCCTGCTTGCAAGGCAGGCACTTACGCCGCTAAGCTAAATCCCCAACCCCTTCAACTGGTCTTGAACTCATTTTATAGCCCAGACTGGTCTGAACTCTCAGCAGTCCTCCTGGTTTGGCCTCACAAGTGCTAGGATTACAGGTTTGTGCCCCCCCCAACTTCATCTGCATCCTTGTTAGTTTTTTGAGATAGGGTATCAGTAGTGCAGGCTGGCCTTGAACTCACAACTGGTCTTACTTGTATTTTCTACTGTTTTTCAATATTGGTGATTTAATCCAGGGTCTTTCCACTGAACTACATGCTCATCCTTTTTTCACTTTGTTATTTTGAGACAGGATCTTGCTAAGTTCCTAAATTGCCCAGGCTGGGCTTGAAGTTGTGACCCTCTTGCCTCAGCCTGCCAGGAGGCTGCCGGTGTGTGCCACCAAATCCAGCTAGATTACATACATTTTTTTTTTTTTTGTCTTTTTCCTTTTTATCGGTACCAGGGATCAAAGTCACGACTGCCTGCTTTCAAGGCAGGCACTTATGCCACTGAGCTAAACCCCCAGCCCCTACATACATTCTTAAAGAATGGATTTCTTGTATTACCTGATTGTAAAAATTTTAAAAATGTAGTGAACTAAAAAGGGCTTGTTATCTAATCTTCAGTATTGAATGATGTAAATACTTACTGGTATTTGAGTTCAAACCATAGAACTGCATAACATCTTACATTTAAACTTTGCTTTATGGTAAGTAAAGCTTTAATCTGTCTCCTTGTCTTTTTGCTGTTTTTTGTCATTATCTGAGGCAAAGTCCAGAGTTCACGTGGTCCTCCTGCTTAAGCATGTCCAGTGTTGGGCTCTAGGCACTCACCACTTCACCTGGCAATTCTTTAGTATTACTTTCAGCACATAGGGTTGGAACTATCTCTGTTTTACAGTTGAAAATACAGGTTTCTTTCGTGGTAAAAGCATGAGTTTTGTGCTGTATCATTTTATCATTTAGTCTATAATTTAATTGACTCAAATAAGATACTAAATTTTCCATAGGCTGGGCTGTATATTGTCAAGTGTGTGCTAACATTTTTTGTACCAAACAGATAAAG